AGTATATATATACATATAAAAAGTCTATGCAATATCCGTGGTGTTATCTGGTAAGGTGAATGCACTTCCGGAGTATGTACTGCCTCGAAATAATAGCAATGCGCACTCACCAGAAACGCATGGATTATGCGCATGTAGGGATAATCATCCCAGGTAAACAATCCCTCGAAGACCGCGTGGTGGGCGTCCTATTCACAGTGGGTCATCAGAAACACCAAGACAGATCCGGAGGTCCCCTTAAAGCTAGTCAGGTAATCCACACTGATAGTGTTGAACCCTCTTCTGGCTGGTGGAGGCACCCTTTCTGTGGGAGTAGTAGCTCCAAGAAGGAGCCCCAAAAAACAGGTGCCAGAGATAGTGTAGTATGTTCTTTAGGTGATTTTATTAATCAAACATAGCATAGTAGTAATAGGGCAGTATGCACATCACAGCATCAGTGTAAAACAGCATTACTGACCCCAATAAAGATGGCCGCCGACCCTCCTCGTGGCTCCGGCGGTAGGGAATGACGTCACGCTCTGCACAGCTCCTCCTTAGGCCTTTCGTGCTACAGGCACATCATCAGAGGGGAGGCTGTACAGAGGCGTGACCGACGTCAATGTAATATATAGGGGAAGACGGCGCATGCGCGGTTACCCGCGGCCATCTTCCCATGGAGTCCGCAGTGCGCATGCGCGCAAACGGAAGCGCCATTTTTGCCCGTGGATCCGCAGTGTGAAACAAATGAAGAAAAGGGGTTGGAGATTCCTCCGCTTACCCATCGTAAACAACTACAGGATATTCAGCACAGACCCCAGGGAAACGATGGAGCCGTATACTTCTGTCTATTAAAGTGACAGTGCTCCATACACAGGAATCTTCATGATTATACAGTCAGGTCCATAAATATTGGGACATCGACACAATTCTACAGCATTTTTGGCTCTATACACAACCACAATGGATTTGAAATGATAAACAAACAAGAGTGCTTTAACTGAAGATCTTGTCAGCTTTAATTCGAGGTATTTACATCCAAATCAGGTGTAACGGTATAGGAATTACAAACAGTTTGCATATGTTGCCTCCCACTTGGTAAGGTACCAAAAGTAATGGGACAATTGGCTTGCTCAGCTGTTCCATGGCCAGGTGATGTGTGTTATATCCCCTCATTATCCCAATTACAATCAGCAGATAAAAGGTCCAAGTTCATTTCAATTGTTGTTATTTGCATTTGGAATCTGTTGCTGTCAACTCTCAAGATGAGATCCAAAGAGCTGTCACTATCAGTGAAGCAAGCCATCATTAGGCTGAAAAAACAAAACACAAACCCATCAGAGAGATAGCAAAAACATTAGGCGTGGCCAAAACAACTGTTTGGAACATTCTTAAAAAAGATAAGGAACGCACCGGTGAGCTCAGCAACACCAAAAGACCGGCGGAAGACCACGTGAAAACAAAACTGTGGTGAGATGAGCGAAGAATTCTTTCCCTGGTGAAGAAAACACCCTTCACAACAGTTGGCCACATCAAGAACACTCTCCAGGAGGTAGGTGTATGTTAGGTCAAAGTCAACACAAGTCAAGAGAAAGACTTCGCCAGAGTGAAGGGTACATGAGGATTGCACGCACAAGTAGGATGGAAACCAATAGTGGTGAGCCTCAAAAACAGGAAGTTGGGGTCGCTCTTGGGGAGTTACACAGATTAGAGTTTGTTTATTATGCACGTCTTTGGTTCTTAGACCTCAAACGGTCGTGTATTGCATTTCTCAAAACAGCCTTCACAGTTCTGGAACAACATCCTATGCTAACAGGCGCAGATGAGACCGAGATCAACTTGTACCAAGAGTGACACATGAGCGATAGAGAGCAAGATGTAGGGAATTTCAAAGGAAAGGAACTGTGCGGATATGAGTCCTAAAGCATACCACCTCATCAGATGAAGCATGTTAGTGGTGGATGTGTAGACTAGTGTCGTGATAGATGGCATGGTAATGTATGGTAGTTATAGTATTATGCTGCCAATGGAACTTGTTCTCTTGTATTTATTGATGATGTGACTGCTGACAAAAGCAGCAGGATGAATTCTGAAGTGTTTCGGGAATATTATTCTGCTCACTATTCAGTCCAAAATGCTTCACAACTCATTGGACCGCCGCTTCACAGTGCAGATGGACAATGACCCAAAGCAGACTGCAAAAGCAACCAAAGAGTTTCTTAAGGGAAAGAAGTGGAATGTTATGCAATGGCCAAGTCAATCACCTGACCTGAATCCGATTGAGCATGCATTTCACTTGCTGAAGACAAAACTGAAGGGAAAATGCCCCAAGAACAAGCAGGAACTGAAGACAGTTGCAGTAGAGAGCCTGGCAGAGCATCACCAGGATGAAACCCAGCGTCTGGTGTTGTCTATGCGTTCCAGACTTCAGGCTGTAATTGACTGCAAAAGATTTGCAACCAAGTATTAAAAAGTGAAAGTTTGATTTATGATTATTATTCTGTCCCATTACTTTTGGTCCCTTAACAAGTGGGAGGCACATATGCAAACTGTTGTAATTCCTACACCGTTCACCTGATTTGGATGTAAATACCCTCAAATTAAAGCTGACAGTCTGCAGTTAAAGCACATCTTGTTCGTTTCATTTCAAATCCATTGTGGTGGTATATAGAGCCAAAAATGTTAGAATTGTGTCGATGTCCCAATATTTATGGACCTGACTGTAACTGTGAGGTGCCAATTTATATATGTTGAGGGCAATCTCAATGGCCCCAGTGTGAGTGGTATATACCTACAGTGAACGGACCACGGCAAGGTGGATGCTCTATATTACATAAAACACACATATAATCAATAAAATCCCCAATTCTTGTTAAAATGAGATAAAACCATCAGTAAAAAAGCTCTAAACATAAATTTATCCAATATGAACATATACATATATGTGAAAGTCTCTGTTCTAGCACATAATCAGTTTATTATTAAGATACTAATCCTCATTACTCTATTCTTGTAGTCAAAAATAGGTAAATAGAATAAAATTAAAATGTAGTAAAATCAATATAAAATTAAAACGTTAATATTATCTCAAATTATAAAACGCGCATTATAATTGAAACTAAAAGCCGTAGTTGAAAAAAAACCCTAATTAAAACCGCACAAAGTATAGATGTATAGATGAGTGCGCATTGCTATTATTTCGAGGCAGTACATACTCCGGAAGTGCATTCACCTTACCAGATAACACCACGGATATTGCATAGACTTTTTATATATGTATATATATATACTTTGTTTTTATTTATTAATTTTGAGCGCTGCACTGTTTTTTGCTATATTGATATATGTATAACTTTTAAAGGTATTGTGTGGTTACCTGGAGTGTTTTCTAGCTGCTGTATACATTTGAGGAGCGCTCACTACAAATTGCTTTTTTTACCTGAATTATTACCTGGAATAGATGTTTCCAAGCCAATTACAACTACATGGTGAAGGAGTGGGTAGAAGGCTTTAGCAGCACATCATTACTATTGTGCTCAAGCTGCTGCTGATACTAGACCTCTTGAGAACCATGGTGGGGAGAGGCAAGGAGCGTGTGTGGGCTTGTCACCTCAAAAAAAAAAAACGGACCCAATTTCCACATCCACAGTCGGGGCACATTCAATGTGGTTGTGGAATCTGTCCACTATGTCTATGTATTCTCACAGCAGGGAGGCTTGCTACTGTCAGAATACACCGATCAGTGCTGCAGCCTTAAAATACACCGACAGGATTTGAACAGAATTCGATCAGTATGTTGACTTCTGTTCACACCACAGTGGCAACACATGGATGAATATTGTCTGGTTCCCATTGAACAGGTAGAATTTTGACCCTATGTATTGCCAGCTTTTGTTGATGTTGCATACTATGGGATCTTTACTCTTCCTAAAGTAAAACGAGCTGTATACAGTGCATCAGAAAGTATTCACAGCCCTTAACTTTTGCCACATTTTGTATGTTACAGCCTTATTCCAAAATAGATTCAGTTCATTTTTTGAAAAGGCACCTGAGGGACTCTTAGACCATGAGAAACAAAACTCTCTGCTCTGATGCAACAAAGATTGAACTCTTTGGCCTGAATGCCAAGTGTCATGTCTGGAGGAAACCAGGCACCACTCACCACCTGGTCAATACCATCCCTACAGTGAAGCATGTGTGGTGGCAGCATCATGCTGTGGGGATGTTTTTCAGCGGCAGGAACTGGGAAACTAGTCAGGATTGAAGAAAAGATGAATGCAGCAATGTACAGAGACATCCTTGATGAAAACCTGATCCAGAGCACTCTGGACCTTAGACTGGGGAGCTGGTTCATCTTTCAACAGGACAACGACCCTAAGAACACAGCCTACATGACAAAGGAGTGGCTACGAGCCAATTCTGTGAATGTCCTGGAGTGGCCCAGCCAGAGCCCAGACTTGAACCCAATTGAACATCTCTGGAGAGATCTAAATAATGGCTGTACACCGACGCTCCCCATCCAACCTAATGGAGCTTGAGAGGTACTGCAAAGAAGAATGGGAGAAATTGGCCAAAAATAGGTGTGCCAAGCTTGTAGCATCATACTCAAAACGACTTGAGGCAGTAATTGGTGGTAAAGGTGCTTCAACAAAGTATTGAGCAAAGGCTGTGAATACTTGTGTACATGTGTTTTTTTTTTTTTTTTTATTTTTAATAACTTGCAAAGATTTCAAAATGAACTTCTTTCATGCTGACATTATGGGATATTGTTTATAGAACGTGGATGAAAAAAAATGAATTTAATCCCTTTTTGTAATAAGGCTGTAACATAACACAATGTGGCAAACGTTAAGCGCTACGAATACTTTCTGGATGCACTGAAGGATCGTGATGTGTGAACAAAGAACTATAAAAAATAAAATCAGATGTGGCATGTTTAGTTGATGTAAAGTGCTTTGTAGGCGTCATACAGTTTTTCGGTGCAACAGTTCTCTGGATTATGTAATTTGTTTCCTTACTTTCAGGCAGAAGTATGTCATTCAGAGGAGAGAGAGGAAATGACGAACAGTCCATAGAGAGATGATCAAAGTATCTCATTTAAAGTACGTTTACTGTAGCTATAATGTCTCCCCAGATGTAGTAATGTCTTGCTTTTCCTTGGCAGCATTAAATTAAGAATAACACAAGTCTGGGTCACCTGCTTGGTGAACTTTATTTTGCATTACTAATATTCCCACTCTATCAAAGGAAAGGGGAACCATCCTACTTTGTTAAGATTGACACCTGTCTTTGTGTATTGCAGGCAGTATCTTGTTGGTGGTGTTTTAAGGACAAGCCTATGGAATTATGGGATATCAGGACTTGTACTCTGCTGCGTGAGATGTCAAAGATCTTCCCTACAGTAACTGCCTTGGTATGTTTGAACACATTCTAATGACCAAGATAGTTTTTGTACTGCTTAACCACTTTATAACCACTGTATGTTTAACACTAAGGGCAAAACCTTTTTTTAAGTTTTAGATAGAGTGTTGAGGGTTTAGGACACCTGTTGGGTTTTTTTATTGCAGTCTGTATTCCAAGTAGAGAGATGCACCCTCTCTATTGGTCCTGTTTACTGTTGTCACCTAAAGTGAAAGATAAAAAAAATCCCACATTTTTTTGGTTGTTACAGAGCAGGAATAGAGGGAAAACCTTCAATGACGACAGTAGTTCTTTTGACTTCCAGGGATTTCCCTCACCTTGGAAGGATTTGCTTTAACTTCCTTTTGCGGCTATGAGACCGGAAGTAAGAGGAAATCTCTCTCCAGTGGGACACAACAAGAAAACTGACAGGGGTTATAAATCTCCCTTGCTGTATCCTAAATGGAAAAAAAAGTTTTGCTTTTACTTCTACTTTAAAAACGGAAGCTTGCTAAATGTGTATTTCAGCAGGGCTGTTTTATAAATGGCACTTAAGAAATAAAAGCGATATTAAGCCTAAATACGAAGGTGAAGGTTCAGGTCTGGCATAGGTTGCCTTTGGGGGTAATGGGCAAAGTGAACCTGGTAAAAATTATAATCCTTCCTAAGCTCTTCTATATGTTTTGGCACTCCCCGATCTATATCTAAATCCCCTTAAAGTACTTCAAAACTATGAAGAAAATTTTACAAACTTTTGTTTGGGGAAGCTCTAGACACAAACTAGCATGGCGGGTGTTCAAAAAACCCCATGGCTAAGGGGGGAGTGGCATTACCTGACTTGTGTTTATATTTTCTAGCTGCCCAACTGTCACATTTTTATCACATTAATAAACCTGATAAACAACAGTATTTGACTTGGGTGTGTAATGTTTCACCTTCTGTTTATCTCCATCATTTCTACAATTTACTCTGAGGGCTGGCTGGCACAACAGGGGCAGACAACCGTATGGGCATGCTGTATCCTCATGGTGGGTACTGCCTCTCCTGTAATACATGCTTATGCTCCTCTTTGGTATAATAGTTGGCTTCCCAAGTTACTGTCAGTTCCAGATCCTGTTTTGTGGATCTCTAAGTGGTAGATTATATGCACTATGTGATGAACAATCAAGGGATCAGGACCTTTCAACAATTAAAAGATGAATATGGCCTATCAAATTTTATGTTGTTTGGGTACTTTCAGCTGCAACATGCTCCATCTGTTCCATTTCTATTTGCCCCCCCCCCCCCCCCCCCTTATACTTCCAGTTCACCCCTGTTGTATGTGCTGGGTGCAGATGAGGGCCGCAAGCTGATCTCTAACTTCTATAACCTGTTGCTCACTACCATAGCTGCTAAGGTGGCCTATTCTCCCAAAAATTGCTGGGCAGCTGATGTTCATGAGTTGGATGATGAGGAATGGGGAGAGAGCTTGGATACCTATAGATTGGTATCACCCAAATGAATGCACCGTTTAATCCAAATTTATATTAACGCGGTCCGTATGGCCAAATTTGGGCCCAACAAAAGTCCTGCGTGTCCAAAATGTTTGGTGACGACGGGCACTTTCTTTCATCTCTTATGGTCTTGCCCTAGAATTCAGGAGTTTTGGGTTATTCAGTTTCTCCATGACAAGATGGGATCGCCTCTGTCCCTTGACTGTAAATACAGTTTGCTGGGGCTTTTTCCTGCCCCAGAATCTGAAAAATTTCAAAATATCTTTTTACATGAAACATTTGCTGTCCAGAAACGCACTGGAATGCATTAATAAAGAGCGTACAGAAACACTTCCAGAATGGATCTGGAGGACGTTTTTGTGGTGTGGACTGGCCCTTCATGCAGAGAATGCATTAACGGATAAGGTCACCTTTTGGACAAAAATAATAAATGCACATTTTTTTGCAGGTAGAAAATGTGCATTTATTATTTTTGTCCAAAGGAGCCAGGAAAGCATTGCACCAGCGATCAGTAGATCACTGATGCCATGCAGGTCTCCTGCAGACCTGACAGAATATTTGCTTGCCGTATGGGATGAAGCAGATATTCTGAAAGGAATCTTGAATGAACTACCACGGCGCTTCACAACGCAGTGGTAGTTCATTGAAAACTACAAGGCCACATCCGCTAAGACTGTCAAGACTTGCAGTTCATTCATTCCTTGAAGTCCCTGAATGAATGACACAGCCGTGTGTGCAGAGCCCCGCACGGCTGTGCTTTTTTCAAATCTGACAAATAGTACAGGGGGGCTTCTACCCGTATTATCTGTCAGGGGGAGGGGGGCGGAAGGCGTGGCTGCAGCTATGGGAACATGGTACATGTTCCACCATAACATGTTCCCAAAGGTGAGCTTATTCTTTTTAAAGTAAAAAAACCTCATGCCTTTAGAACCACTTTAATTGGGTTATGGGACAGTGAGTGATGGGGAATGCAAAATTCCATGGTTGTCACAGGGACAGGAAAACTTTCTCTGAAGACAGTTGTCTCCATGAGGGTTTCTGCTCATTTTAGAGCGAACCTATGGGATACAGATGGCGAAAGAAAAAAAACCCAAAAAACTAAAAGGGGGTTTAGGAATTACCGATACAGCAGGGCTCAAAATGTCAAGTCCTGAGCTACTAGCCGAGCCTTAAGAGTTATTTGCTATCTGTTGTCCCACCCAATCCCTACCCTGCCCCACCCTTCATTCTGCCCCTAAACACGCACTTGTAAATTATCTCATGAAATTGCATTGTTAAATGTTTTATGCAGAAGGAAGGGAAGGAAGAAAGAAAGGAAATGGAAGGAAGCAAGGGAGGGAAGGGTGGAAGGGAGAGAGGAAGGGGTGGAGGGAGGGGAGAAAGGGAGGGAGGAGTTGAAGGGAGGTGTCACTTACCTTGCTTGTGAGCCTGACGGCAGAGGAAGGCCTATCGTAAAAGCTCCGGCTCGGGGACCACTGAAGGTGGAACAGCAACCACGAGAGCACAGCAGGGTATGAGTGCTTGGTCAGTCCTGTAGTCATTGAAAGAATTGTTGGCACTTCGCTGGCAGATGGGGCAGCTGGACTGGCTGGCAGCAGAGCAGGCTGGTAGCAGGCAGATGTCACAGCTGGACAGGCTGGTGGCAGAGCAGGCTGGCAGTGGACAGACGTCACAGCGGGGCAGGCTGGCAGCAGAGCAGGCTAGTAGCAAGCAGATGTCACAGTAGGACAGGTAGGTTGCAAAGCAGAGTAGCACGCTGTATGCAGATTCGGACAGGCTGGGTCAGTAACAGATAAACGGATCAGGCATAAACTGCAGGCAGAAGAATAGTTGGGTCACAGGCCAAGGGCAGTAATGGTGGGAGCAGATCAAGCAGAGACAGAAGTTAGAGGCGGAGTCCAAGAAGCAAGTCGGGGTTAATCCCAGGTATCACTCTCAGGAACAGGCACAGGGATACAGGAGATCAGACAGCACAGGCTAATGGTGCTGCTGGGTTTAAATAGTCTAATTGGCGCCAACATTGGCAATTGGCAGTCGCGGGTTCGCGAATCAAATGCACACGACTATGCACAGCAGGGTGGGCACGGAAAAAAGCACAAATACATCCTTTGGCATGGACATTCTGTTCATGCTCCCAGGAGTTTTCTTCAGGACCTTACCCTTGACACTTAATCAGGTACTGTGGCTGGTTCATTTTTCTCCTGCAATCCAAAGTAGCTTTCACCTCATATTCTTCATCTCCGGGGGGGGGGGGGGGGGGAGGAGAGGGAGAAAGGTTGATGCTTAGTGAAGCAGTGGGGGCAGTTACAAGGACCGATCTCCTGTATGTCTTTCAATGAAGCAGCCGGAAGTCGCTTCTCCTCTCCCTCCCGCAGCTTCCAGCTGCTTCATTGAATGTCATGCAGGAGATCGCTGCTTGTCGCTGCCACCACTGCCGCCCTTCCCACACACCCCGTAGTCTTGGCGCTGCTCTCCCCCACCTTATTTCCACTCGCCCAATGCAAGCGGGCAAGTGGAAATTTCGAAATACAGTATTTATAAAGAGTTTTTTCCTATATGTATTTTAATACTGTACTGTAAACAAACCCTGTTAGAGATCTATGGAGCTGAACAAATGAGTAGCACCACCAGTTCTTTTCTACAGTTTTTCTTTATATGTAAATTGTCATGTTGTACTCTCAGGTATAGCTGTTATTTGGATGACTGCAGATTTTACACTTTCTGTGGCACTCTGATTTTGTTATGTCAGTAACCCAGAATGTTTGGCATTTCAGACATTACAAATGTAGTAACTCTGCTTCTTCCTTTATTTCTCTCAGGAGTGGTCCCCGTCTCATAATCTGAAGAGCCTCCGCAAAAAGCAGATGGCAGCTCGCGAGGCAATGGCACGTCAGACAGTGTCCTCAGACAGTGATCCAAACAGCGTTGAGTCTTCAGTCATCAGGTGAAACATCTGGCGCTTCTTTAGAGGCATAGTAATAATTCATAACTCTCCCATCATACTGTGCTGATGAACACTTGTGAAATCAGAGAAACAGAGCCAATCTCAAGTGCACAAAACTAAAACCAAACAGCCTTATCAATGTACCCTGATTGTAAATAAATGAATAATGCAAGAAGCCTAGGTCCTATTTTAAAAATTTTACATATTCAAAAAAAAATGATTTAATAAGAAAACATCTTTAATCACATAATGTGGAGAGCTATGAAGAGTAACTACACATAGCAACCAATCACAGGTCAGCTTTCAGCAGCGATGTGTAAGTAATCGTATATGTGAGGCTTCTTTTTTATAACTGGTAGCTCTGGATTGAGGCAGTTTACACATACTTTGCTTTAGGCTAGGTTTACATTTGGCCTCTATTTGGAATGCAATGCATGGTAGTGTAGTTGCATTGCCTTAGTATATTGGGGTGCTGTTCAAAATGAGTGGCGCAACAGCACACTTATCCACTTAACATGCATTACTGTAACTCAGTAATGTAAACCTGGCTTAAAGGCTTACATGAAGTACTGGGAAATGTTAGGTGTTTTATGAAGAGCCTATGTTCAATCTGCACCAAATGTACTCAGCTTGTAAAGTGTATGTGGAGATTTTTTTAAAGGTGCACACAGAAAAAAGCTCTTCATTTGATCCAGCTGAAATGGCCAGGAATGTGTGTAACTCTCTGGGTCACGCTCAGGATAGTGCTCAAAGGGAAGAATTGGTGATCTAGGCTAGATGATTATCATTCCACAGAGGTAAGGAATTATACGTTGTTCAATTTTTTTTTTTTCAACCAGTGGGTTAAGTGAAAAAAAATGACCCAATTTCCCTATCCATAAACTCCCCACCATCAGGATGCATTGATCAGTGCTAACAGCTATAGTTGGCGGTGCTGATTGATCAGGAAAAACCTGACAGGCTGGTTGTACACAATTCAATTGGTAGATCAACTTCAGTACAACCAACTTGCCCATACATGGATCGAAATTTGGCCAGTCCCAGCTGAACCAACCGAATTTCAATCCGTGTATGAGCACCTTAAGGCTGGTGCAGTAGGTGCGTGTAGTTCAATTACATAAACCTTGCATATTTATGCTTGATTTGTTCTACAGGACAAATACATGGCTCTCATAACTTCTGTTTTAGGTCTCTGAATACTTCAAGACAGCATAGTTTTTTTTTTTCAGCTAATATATTTAAAGCACAACTCCACTTTTGTTTAGAAAAAAACAGTCCCCTGTGGGTAACCTATTTACATGAAAGGGATTTTAACAAAGGGGAAGGGAAGCAGATTAGACAAGTCTGAAGCAGTCCATAGATCATGCTATTTTCTTTTCTTCCACCACATGTGGAAGAAAAGCAAATTGTTCAATTCACCCATCAACACAGTCAATGTTGATGGTGGGAATCCCTCCTGCAGTTCTATTGTGTTCTGTGGCAGGGACCCTTCCGTGACGGCAGAACACAATGATCACTGTTAGTGGCTACAGCCGCAAGCAGTTATTGCATGAAAAAGATACAACAGGTTGGTTGTACTAAAGTCGATTGATGCATCAACTTCAGTACAACAAGCCTGCCCATAGATGGATCAAATCTTGGCTGATCCCTGCTGAAGTGTCCTAGATTAAACCCATCTGGCCAGCTTAAGTGTGGTAAGGGTGTTCTTTTCAAAAGAACCTGACATGACACTTTGCCCTGAATGATCAAAGAGTTCAAAGACTTTTGCTTTCACTTTTTTGTAACCTTATATCATTTAACTGCTGAGCAAGGGGAAGCCCAAATCATCATTCATAAAAATGCAGCTAAGCCCCCAGTCACATCAAGCCTGACTTTGAAATCGTGCGACTTCACTGTAAGTCGCATGATTTAAAAGTCGGGTAAACCGCCGATTTCAGGCGCGATTTGCAAGACATCTGACACAGGGCACAATTCACTAAGCGGTATTGTACCGCATCCGAGTATATGATAGGATAACGCATAGCAATTTTTACAAAAAACGTTTGAATTCACTAAAAAAAAAAAGCTACTAAAATACTGCATGAGTTATTTTATCAAGTCATGCAGTATTTTAGTAGTGAAAACCATGCGTTCATGTTTCAGCTGTCAGCGGGGTTCTCCACTGACAGCTGAAAGTAAAAGAAAGAATTGCCGGCAATTAAAAAAATTATTTAAAAAACGGCATGGGATCCCCCCCCTCCATTCATACCAAGCCCTTCGGGTCTGGTTTGGATTTTGAGGGGAACCCCCACACCAAAATTTAAAAAAAAAATGGCGTGGAGTCCCCCCCCAAAATCCATACCAGACCCTTATCCGAGCATGCAGCCTGGCAGGTCAAGTAAGGAGGGGGTGAGCGAGCGAGCACCCCCCTTCCCTCCTGAATCATACCAGGCCACATTCCCTCATGGGAGGGTGCTTTGGGGCGGGGGTGCTCAGCGCGCCTCCCCCCCAAATCACCTTGTCCCCATGTTGATGGGGACAAGCGCCTCTTCCCCACAACCCTGGGCTATGGTTGTGGAGGTCTGCGGGTGGGGGGCTTATCAGAATTTGGAAGCCCCCTTTAGTAAGGGGGCCCCCAGATACTGCCCCCCCTCATGTGAATGCGTATGAGGTACATGATACCGCTACCCATTTACAAAAAAAAAGTGTTGTGTTTAAAAAAAAGACAGGAGCCAGTCTTTAACAAGTCCTTTATTAAAAGAAGAAAAATAAAAGAATGCACCCCGAAGTAGATCCAACGTCAGTCACGATGCCCACCGCCGCCACCTGAAAAAAAAAAGGTTCCGCTCCCGCTGCTGGCTCCCAGCTGTCTGACTGCTCTGCTGGCTTGACAGTTCTTAAAAATATAAGGGGCGGGGCCATCACATATGTGACCCTGCCCCCGTGGGACATCATGGACCCAGCATGCCCGGTAGATGATGTCACACACGGGTGGGGTCAGACGGGTGGCCTCACCTCTTACATATTTAAGAACTGTCAAGCCGGCGGAGCAGGCAGACGGCCTGTAACCAGCATCAGGAGCAGAGCCTTTTTTTTTTTTTTTTTGGGTGGCGCGCATTGTGATTGACCTGGGATCTACTTTGGGGGACGTTCTTTTATTTTCCTTCTTTTAATAAAAGAATTGTCAAAGACTGTCTCCTGTCTTTTTTCACATTACACTTTTTTTTTTTTTTTTTGGGTGAATGGGTAGCGGTACCATGTACCCCATATTCATTCACATGCGGGGGGCGGGATCTGGAGACCCCCTTGCTAAATGGGGCTTCCAGATTCCAATAGGCCCCCCACCCGCAGACCCCCACAACCACAGCCCAGTGTTGTGGGGAAGAGGCCCTTGTCCTCATGTCCCCCAACATGGGGACAAGGTGTGAGGGCATGTGGCCTGGTATGGTGCAGGAGGGGGGGGGCGCGCTTGCACGTCCCCCCCCCCCCTTTCCTGACCTGCTGGGCTGCATGCTCGGATAAGGGATTGGTACGGATTTAAGGGGGGGGCCCCCAAGCTAATTTTTTTTTTTTTTTTTTTTTTTTTTTTTTTTTAATGCTATGCGGTATCGTACTGCATACTCGGATGTGGTAAGATACCACTTACAAATGTCTATGCAAATTGCAACAAAAATAGTGCATGCACTACTTTTGAAATCGGTGTGGCTCCGACCAAGACGAAACCGCACCAATATGACCACTCTAATAGTGGACAATAGGGTGTGACTTGGCAAGTCGCCTGGTCGATGTGACCGGAGGGTAAGTTATGATGTAATGTCACATAGAAGCAATTTAATTATTTTTTTAAACTTCATGTTGTTAAATATTGTAAATAAATACTTTACATGGTATGCCTATGTACATGTCAGTAGAAACGAGTGGATAATATAATTAACGGTGTTAAATGATCTGTGCCATTGTCATTAACACATTTATAACTGGAATATAAGTTCTGTCATTCTTTGTCTTGGCCTCAATGGTAGATCTATAATTTGTGTATTAAAATGATTAAATCTGTGCTGACCATCTGTGATAGCTGGCTGAATGAAACAATTGGCTGTAAAGTTATGCCTTGCCCATGTCCCTCATCAACTCAGCTCTTTAATTCTGCTGAGTGTATGCTTTCCTCCACCTCCAATTACTTTTCATGCGAGTGAAGGGATACGGATCCCTCTCTAACACTTGCATTAACCCAAAGTACTGATCATAAGCGTTGCTGGTTTGCTGCAATTTCAGTTCCTCCCTTTATATCCACTGGCTGTGTATTAATGGTGCACTAATGAGGCCATTAGTGAAGAAAGTGGTAAAGAAAATGACTCAGTACCTGATGCCAGCAGTTCTCTGCATTTACCTGCTGCATTAGTCTGTTACAGGAGGCGGAGAGCAAGTCGGAGCTGAGCCAAAACATCTCTGCGCGGGAGCACTTTGTGTTCACAGACACAGATGGGCAGGTTTATCACCTTACTGTGGAAGGGAACAGTGTGAAAGACAGCGCCAGGATTCCCCCAGATGTGAGTTCATAATATTGCTTTTGTACCAGGACAGGTTTAGCCTATGGGCATGTGAGGGGATGATATCATTTAGCAGCACAGAAAATTAAACCTACTGATTGCTGGCAAAGATCATTGCATCTGCAGGCCTGTGGGAACTGTTCTAGTGACTATGCAGGTTAACTCTTTGTAAGTCTGCAATACATGGTTCAGTATTGAGCTGAAGACATTTGAGCAGTGTTTAGTTTTTTAAATGCTATGCGGAATCGTACTGCATACTCTGATGTGGTAAGATACCACTTACAAATGTCTATGTAAATCGCAACAAAAGTAGAAAATTAAACCTACTGATTGCTGGCAAAGATCATTGCATCTGCAGGCCTGTGGGAACTGTTCTAGTGACTATACAGGTTAACTCTTTGTAAGTCTGCAATACACGGTTCAGTATTGAGCTGAAGACATTTGAGCAGTGTTTAGTTTACATTCTGAACAATACTGGTTAAAAGCTGTATTTTTATTCTATCAACTCCGTACTCCCCAGGCTATAGCAGAATCCACTTATCATTGACATGTATCTGAACAAGCTTACACTCTAATATCTCTGCCACATTTATACATACACTTCAACACTACAACCAAGCGGCAAGACCAGAGTGCTCACCACTTAGCTAGCATTTTCATAGCCATGTTTGTCTGGTGGGTTGACAGTGGAATGTGTTCTAGATATAGTTCAGTGCCACTCCACAGCTGACAATAGGAAATAGTTCCTGAATGCAAGATGTGACATAGCACCAGAAACGGAACAATTTATATATGGCAAAGCATGTATTCACTTTTAGTGCTAGAGGATCGATACAGAGAGCAGTGCCCTACCCGAAGATTCCTCACACTAATAGCAATTTTGCATTTTGAACCCAAGCATGCTGTAAATAAGTGTCCAGATTATTTATTACCTTCCAAAACATCTGCAGTGTGACTGGTCAGTGTGCAGTGGAGGGTTTTTTACTTCTGATCTAACTGCAGATTGCTTAGCCTTACTGTATATAATATGTGAGTATATACTGAAGACCTCTAAACCAAGGCTAGTCAGAGAAGCAATACATTCTAGCACAGGGGCTTTTGACACATAAAAGGACATCATTCATTGCTGGGCCTGAGTGTCCTCTCTGCCAGTATTCTGTACAGGTTGCTGTGAGTGGCAGGGTATGTAAAAGCATTCATACACCACCAGGGAGCCTAGTGACCCAGGGAAAGGCAGAATTCTCATTCATCCACCAGCAGCACGAGGTCAATTCTGAATGGCTTCAGTCACTATGGTAGAGCTCCTACGTAAATAAGGGGAATCTAGTTGTTTTCAGTTTAAAGATCTTCTTTTTTTTTTTTTTTCATCTTCCTTGTAATGTGCTCTGCTCATGTACACTGACAATAAAAACCAGTGCCAGAAGCAAGACAATTGGTATAATTGTGCATTATGTTCTGGTGTACACTCTAGATACCTGACTTTATGAAAGGGAGAGCACACGTTGGTTACTTTCTGTTCTGATATTTCTGTTCTGTGTAGTTGCTAGTGAACTAAAGCATGTAAGGGCTTTTTAGTTTTTTGGGGGGCTTAGACGAGAGGTTTTCCATGTCTCATCTAGTGGCAGCAGAAACTTTCAAGCCAAATGATGGTGTTACACTCCCACCAAGGGGTCTTCTAAATGATAAGTAATTGGGGAGTCATCTGGCAAAGGGGATGACACCTTTGTTAATGGCTTGTGAAAAGGGGTTTTGTATCCATCAGCTATGCACAGCGCTGAGCAAACCCTTTGGCGCTATATAAACTCGATGTAATAATAATAATAATAATGCAAAATCTTGACTTTATAAATTCTGAAAGACATTTGAAACCAGAAGATGATTCATCCCACCAGTGGTAACCAGAAATGGAATTTTAGGTTGAATGAATTTTAGGTCAGGTAAAAAGCATAATGGTCCCAATTTATTTATTTGTTTCAGTTCTGAACACAACATGAAAAAACACAAACAAAACCACCACTCTGTCCATATAACAGCAACAAATTAAGTGCGTTGTTATCCATGGGCCCAGCATATTTATTTATTTATTACAGGTACTTATATAGCGCCGTCATATATATATATATATATATATATATATTACACTACATTCACATCAGTCCCTAACCCTCTAACCCTCGGGGGGCATACAGTCTAAGGTCCCTAATTTACATTCATACACATACTAGGGCCAATTTAGACAGGATCCAGTTAACCTACCAGCATGTCTTGGATTCATTGATTTGTAAGTGAGAAGGAGCAGTAAGCACAAGCATTGTGTAGCACTACAAAGCAGGAAGTGGAGACTCCATAAATGATGAGCAAATACTGTATGTCTATGCCCATGTAAATATATCATTACTAATTATACATGGAAACAAGGTTTTTAAACTTTAGCACACAATAATTGGAGTACATCAAACTGTCTTTTTAATATGTTAACTCTAGAAAAACATTGATATAAACTCCACATTTCTTTTAAAGCAAATAGAAAAGCAAAAATAGATATAGTAAAGCAATTATGTTCTAATATATTTTAATCATTTCCTTTTAAGGGTGATAGAGCAATATAAAACATAAATCTGGTGCAGCTCTGCATGGTACCCAATCCGCTTCTAACTTCAGCTTGTTCAATTAAAAAAAATTGGAAGGTGATTGGTTTCCATGCAGAACTGCACCAGATTTTGCACTCTCTTAGTTATAGAAAATCAACCCCACTGTATAGTGTCACTATCTGCTGTGACATTTAAACAGATGCGCTTTACTTGGAATCACTCCCGAAGTAATTTGTAGGTGACAACAAATGTGTTATGACTTTTTTATACATATTGCTGTTTCTACATGTGATGCAATTTAAGAATGAAGCATTTTAGGTTCTACAGTACAGTAGGCAGGGAATTGTAAGTCTTAAAACAAATGTCCGCGCTTTACTCCAAATGTTCTTCAAATAAACCTTATTACAAGTTTGCATGACTCCAGACATGTCACAATACTTTTTTTTTATGCTGTTTATTCCTCACTTCTGCTTGATCCACAAATCTCTCCAACACAGTGATAAATCATTATTACCAAGTATAGGGGGGAAAGGGTTAGACACTCTGCCAAATTTTATTGCTGTCTTCAGAAAGATTTCCTTCCTTCTTTCCTGTTTGGTAACTGGGAGAGGAAGTGAGGGGAAATCTCACTCTCTGACTTGCTGTGACGTGTTACCTATAATTTCATCCTCTGTCTTACTGTGATGTGGTACCTATAAACACACCCTCTTACTGTGGTGATGTTACCTATAATCACACCCTCTTACTGTGGTGATGTTACCTATAATCACACCCTCTTACTGTGATATTGTTACCTATAATCACACCCTCTTACTGTGATGTTACCTATAATCACACCCTCTTACTGTGGTGATGTTACCTATAATCACACCCCTCTTACTGTGGTGATGTTACCTATAATCACACCCTCTTACTGTGGTGTGATGTTACCTATAATCACACCCTCTTACTGTGATGTTACCTATAATCACAACCTCTTACTGTGGTGATGTTACCTATAATCACAACCTCTTACTGTGGTGATGTTACCTATAATCACACCCTCTTACTGTGATGTTACCTATAATCACACCCTCTTACTGTGATATTGTTACCTATAATCACACCCTCTTACTGTGATATTGTTACCTATAATCGCACCCTCTTACTGTGATCCTATAATCACACCCTCTTACTGTGGTGATGTTACCTATAATCACACCCTCTTACTGTGATGTTACCTATAATCACACCCTCTTACTGTGATGTTACCTATAATCACACCCTCTTACTGTGGTGATGTTACCTATAATCACACCCTCTTACTGTGATATTGTTACCTATAATCACACCCTCTTACTGTGGTGATGTTATATATCACACCCTCTTACTGTGATGTTACCTATAATCACAACCTCTTACTGTGATGTTACCTATAATCACAACCTCTTACTGTGATGTTACCTATAATCACAACCTCTTACTGTGGTGATGTTACCTATAATCACACCCTCTTACTGTGATGTTTACCTATAATCACACCCTCTTACTGTGATATTGTTACCTATAATCACACCCTCTTACTGTGATGTTACCTATAATCACACCCTCTTACTGTGATATTGTTACCTATAATCACACCCTCTTACTGTGATGTTACCTATAATCACACCCTCTTACTGTGATGTTACCTATAATCACACCCTCTTACTGTGATTACCTATAATCACACCCTCTTACTGTGATGTTACCTATAATCACACCCTCTTACTGTGATGATGTTACCTATAATCACACCCTCTTACTGTGATGTTACCTATAATCACACCCTCTTACTGTGATGTTACCTATAATCACACCCTCTTACTGTGATATTGTTACCTATAATCACACCCTCTTACTGTGATATTGTTACCTATAATCACACCCTACCTATAACCTATCACACCCCCTCTTACTGTGATATTGTTACCTATAATCACACCTCTTACTGTGATATTGTTACCTATAATCACACCCTCTTACTGTGATATTGTTACCTATAATCACACCCTCTTACTGTGATGTTACCTATAATCACACCCTCTTACTGTGATATTGTTACCTATAATCACACCCTCTTACTGTGATATTGTTACCTATAATCACACCCTCTTACTGTGGTGATGTTACCTATAATCACTCCCTCTTACTGTGATGTTGTTACCTATAATCACTCCCTCTTACTGTGATGTTGTTACCTATAATCACACCCTCTTTGTCTTGCTGTACTCGGCTTTACAGAGACACTGTGATATGGCAGGATACCTTCCAATATAATTGCCAATGTATGTAACAGCAATGTATTAAACAGTCTTTTGCTTTATAATGAAATGTCATAACTAGTTTAATCCTCTGTGCTGGCTAGCTGTATAGAGTGCTGGCTGTTCTTCCCTATGGGATAAATTAGCAGGTGCCTTACTGGGGGTTTTGTTTTTCTTCTTGTGCATCAGCAGTATTTGAAAAGGCTAATTTTTTTTTCCTTATTATATATTGTCCTGTACTTCATTATTGTGTTTTAAATACCTTATGCGTTTCCACCTTTGAGGTCAAATTTGAAAAACCCTCACTATATATTTGTTGTGTGTTCTCATTCACACAGCATACCTAAAATGTTTTTATTTTTTATATATTTCTTACATGATTCGCTAAAGCAAATGTGTTTGTAGGCAGCTTCAATTGCTTTGAATAAATGGCAATGTGGAGATAGGGGACAAACTTGGGGACAGTTTATTTTGTAGGCTCAATATCATACAATGCACCACCCAATCCTTAGATCTTTAACCATTTATTAGGACGGACAGCCTTCCCTATCTAATGCAGTATGTCAGAACAGTACAAACAGGTTTACTTATGGCAAACAACTATCCAGGCCCTTCCTGAACATTACATAGAGAGAACTAGTTGGGATTTTTCAGTTCTGGAGTTTTCAGAAAAGAACACATAAAAGGAAAGCAACATATAATTTGAAGGTTATTACTATGTGAGTAGAACATGTAACACATGTAAAGATGGTGTTATCCCAGTTTAGCTGCAAAAGTGGAATATTGTCTGCCAGTAGCTTATTTCTCACTGTCCTTGTCCTCATACAGCTCCTCTTCTATGCTGCTGCTACTTTTCCTCCCATAATGTAGTTGTTGGTGAGATTACTTGTGACGATAATGTCTTCTTTAGAGCTTCCTGAATCATATATTGTTGCGCAGATATTGGCACTTTTATGGCATGGATGTGCTGTAATCGCTGCCGTATATTGTGCTAACGTGTTATCTGTTGGGTCAGCGGCACATTAGCCAAGCGTGAGCTTTCAGTCTAATGGTGCTCATGGGAAAGCAGCAGATTATAGCAAGACCTTAAAACTTATGTGAGCATGGACAGTCTTGATTGAAAACTTTTGCTGTTTATATGTAAGATGCTTTGTGCTGTGAAGAATAAACCATTAATGCAAACATCATATATATTTTATATGGTAAATTCAGGCATACTAAGTGTTGTGGAAGGGTAACGCTTCTTCAGGTATTTATTACAAGTCAGAACACTTACAATACCCTAGAAAATGCCTTCATATTCCTTTTCTGCTCAGGACAGACAATCTTTTATCAGGAAAGAACAAACAGAGGGCGCACAGGCCTAGTGCATTACTATAAAAAAAATGTTTAAAAAGAAATAAAGTAGGTGTTGTACTCACAAACGACAATAAAGTCAAGGCACATCATAAAAGAACAGCTTAGTCAACACCGCGCTGAGTAACAGTCCGCAATAGGGAGTGTAGACATCCAATAGGGAATCTGAGGAAGAACCAAGTCCTTGAAACATGTCAGCCTATTGGATGTCTACACTTTGCGGACTGTTACTCAGCGTGGTGTTGACCCAGCTGTTCTTTTATGATGTGCCTTGACTTTATTGTTTGTTTGTACAACACCTACCGGTACTTTATTTCTTCTTAAACATTTTTTTTGGTAATGCACTAGGCCTGCGCGCCCTCTGTTCTTTCTTCATTTAGTATATTTGGATTTCCCCGGTCTATTGAGGGCAGCAAGGTGTGCATGTTCCAGGACATTCTTAATGTGATTTGTAGCCTGCATCTAGTCCATCCCCAAGCACAGGAGCATTTGTGTTTGCTAATCTTTTATCGGCATCACACAAGCCAGCATTCACTTACTGGGCTAAGACACAGGCTCATAGATTATTAATATTATTATACAGTATTTATAAACCGCCAACAGTTTACTCAGCGCTGTACATTACAAAGGGAGACAGAACATGTGACAGAACAATACCAATACAATGTGATACACGAGGGGTTCAAGGGCCCTGCTCTTTCGATCATAGATGACACAATTATATAAATCTGCAGCCTGTACATTAGTATTTTTATTCTATGTTTACGTATTTTGTCACCTTGTTTTTAAAAAATCAAGAAAACAAAGTTACAATGTTTCAGTGTAATTGCTGGGAGTAGGAGGAAATGCTGTCTGCAGCAGGCTGGTGTCTTTTTTTTAATGATTAAACTTATTTTTGTTAAAAAATAAAATCTCTCTCTCTCTCCCTCTCTCTCTCTCCCCCCTTCCCTCCCCCCTTCCCTCCCTCCCCCCCCTCCTCCCCCCTCCCCCCCCCCCCTCCCCCCTCCCCCCTCCCCCCTCCTCCTCCTCCTCCCCCCTCCCTCCCTCCCTCCCTCCCTCTCTCTCCCTCCCTCCCTCCCTCTCTCCCCCCCTCCCTCTCTCTCCCTCCCTCCTCTCTCTCTCTCTCCCTCTCCCTCTCTCCCTCCCTCTCTCTCTCTCCCTCCCTCCATAATATTATGACTGTAGCATTTCGAGGTATAGACTCCACTAGACCTCTGAATGTATGCAGTGGTGCCTGGCACCAAGCTGTCAGCAGCAGGCCTTTTAAGTCCTGTAAGGTGCGAGGTGGGTCCTCCATGGATCAGAATAGTTTTTCCAGCACAGCCTACAGATGCTCAATTGGATTGAGATCTGGAGAATTTGAAGATCATGTCAGAACCTCGAACCTGTTGTGTTCTTCAAATCATTCTTGAATTCATAAGACCAGGCCACCTTCTTCCATTGCTCCTGTAGTCCAGTCCTGATGCTCATGTGTCCATTGTAGACACTTTTGGCTGTGGACATGGGTCATCATGGGCACCCTGACTAGTCTTCAGCTACGCAGCCCTATACGAAACAAACTGAAATGCACTGTGTTCTGGCACCTTTCTATCAGAACCAGGATTAACCTTTTCAATAATTTGAGTTACAGTAGCTTGGACTACACAGGCCAGCCTTTGCTTCCCATGTGCAGCAATGAGCCTTGGCTGCCTGTGACCCTGTTGCCATTTTTTCTTCCGTGGACCACTTTTGGTCAGTCCTGACCACTGCAGACCAGGGACATTGCACAAGGGCTGCTGTTTTGGGGATGCTCTGACACAGTCACCTAGCCATTGCAATTTAGCTCTTGACAAACTTGCCCATTTTTCCCCCACATACTTTCAGCACATTAACACCTGGGACAACATGTTAATTACCTAGCTGCTAAAAAAATATCCCACCCACTTTCAGGTACCATTGCAACAAAATATTATCCGTTATTTACTTTACCTGTCAGTGGTCATTATGTTATGGCTGATCAGTACACACACACACAGTGTTAAACAGCTAATTTATTTATATAGACTTTCTGATGGGTCTCTATGCCCCCATAATACTATGTAGTAGTAAACTGCATCTGTCTGGTATCAGTCACCTGTATGGGAGAGGGAAGGTTACTGCATGATTGCATTTAAATGTATTAAATGATAGGGGGTTATTGTAATATTTTACAAAGCAAATTATATGCCTGGTTTTCAGCAATTTTGAATTGAGCAGAATTGTATTTGTGTTCTGCAGGGCAGCATGGGTAGCATTTCATGCATTGCTTGGAAAGGTGACATCTTGGTTTTGGGAGATGTTGATGGGAACCTGAATTTTTGGGACCTAAAAGGTCGTATGTCAAGGTAAGAGGCATTATTATTTCTTTATTCAAGACTGTCAATGTAAATCTATCTACAGTTTATATTAGAAGCACAGCTGAGGAAGGATGTTTGAAACCCTATTTCATATTTTTATCATTTTTAAATTTGACAATGTTTTTTTTTCTATGATTGTAATAACCAAAAACTGAAATGTCAGTTTTGAGTGACCCTTAAAGTGTTACTAAACCCAGGACCCTGCATTCACTATATCTGGTCTCCCACAGTACACAGAACATAAAAGTGCAATTATTTTAGTAAATATAAACTGCTAAAAACCTTTTCTCATCAGCAGTTAGAGCAGTCTTGCGACTTCTATCAGTGTCCAGCTGAGCACTGGTTAAAGCTTGTAGGAGGAGTTTTCATTCTCCTCTTACTGCCTATGAGGCTGTATAACCCCTGACCCTCTGTCTGGACAGTGCTGATTGACCCTATGCTGATCACATGTACCCAAAAGAAAGGAAAAAACTGTCTAGCAGCACACAGCAAATTGAGCCTGTGCAGAGTGTCCTCAAGGCTCTATTCTATCAGGAGACAAAATGGGGAACGTGGAAAATGGGGAGGATCAGAAAAGGCAGGATCAAACATCCGTTTTACACAAAGCTGCCGATTAACCCCTTAGGTTCTACAATGAGTATAGCAAGCATGATTTCTGCATATACAGACTGATCTTACTGTTGTGAGTTTAGTAACACTGTAAACTAATGTTATGTCATTGATGCAGTTATGATTGCATACACTGAGAGCAGAAGCTTTTGTACCCTTCTACAGCAATGCCCTCCTCTAGTGCCATTAGCGTACACCACAAAATTATTTCTCTTTCTGGTAGTGTTTTATACTCGTTTCTTGCCATGAATCTTATGGCCATGACCTGTGCAATCTGTGATAAAGCCTAGGCCTTGGGGGGGGTTTCTATGTTAATAGTGACATTTTTGCACAGGCACCAAGTGGGGTTGGCAGGCAGCACTGGAAGGGGGACAAAAAATGCATTATGTCAGCTTGTACATGGGTTGTACAACCTGACATCCTTGCTTGTCAGCTTTGACTTGTACTTGAAGGGGGACAGGAAAGATACATTATGGCAGCTTGTACATGGGTTATACAACCTGACATCATTGCTTGTCAGCTTTGACTTTTTCATATGAGGTATAGCTGGAAAAATTGACCGCAAGTTAGGGACCCACTGAGCAGCAGGGCAGCAGACCTTGTTTATTAAAGTGTGAAAAAGTATTCTTCTTACCCGCAGCAACCAAACAGATTTTTTTCCGTGAAGGGGAGAAATTAGAAGGTTCCAATTGACGTGAAAACTCTTTCATATGTATTACCTATCATGATGCAGCATCCTTGTGACTTGAAATTGAGTCTAAACTATGAGACATTAGAAGAGTATTTATCATGGTAATTGTTTAAGCACATTATTGTATCTCATTTAATGTGGTGCTTTATGTTGAACAAGCCTCTGATTAAAATCTACAAATATGTGTTCTCCTGAAAGCTGAGGAAAAACCCATTGATCTGTAATGCATCTGTTCACCCAGATTCATTTCTAATTAAAATTCATCAGCAGTTAGCGCCTTTTATTGCTGCCTGGTACTAAATGTAATGTTCTAAGTGGGTTAATGGGATAAGTGACCTTTTGTACGCATACTGTGATAGCTATCATGTATTGTAATGTGTGCTAAGCTGTGAGCAATTTTCTATGCTCTTTCATTTATTTTAGGGGAGTACCTACACACCGAAACTGTGTGCGGAAAATCCGATTTGCTCCAGGAAAAGGGAATCAGAAGCTAATTGTGCTGTATAATGACGGAGCTGAGGTTTGGGATACCAAAGAGGTAACTGTTTGTTATTTTTTTATAAACCGTATTTAAAATTCCAAGAGGGGAATTTGCTAAGAATTGTGTAAAAAAAAAAAAAAAAACAAAAAAAAAACAATCTGGAGCAGCGGTGAATAGTAACCAATCAGCTTCCAGTTTTTACTTTCAAAACTTAAAGTGTTACTAAACCCAGGACCCTGCATTCACTATATCTGGTCTCCCACAGTACACAGAACATGGAAATGCAATTATTTTAGTAAATATAAACTGCTAAATACATTTTCTCATCTGCTGTTAGAGTAGTCTTGTGACTTCAGCAGAGCACTGGTTAACACTTGTAGGAGGAGTTTTTTTTCTGCTCTAGGAGGATATAGAACCCCTGACCTCTGTCTAGACAGTGCTGATTGGCCCTGTGCGGATCATATGAACTCTCCCAAGAAAAAAAAAAAAAAAAAAACCTCTCAAGCAATACACACTAAACTGAGCATGTGCATGTGGCTACGTGTTCAGTCTGTCTTATCAGGTGGATTTCTGAACAAGAGGAGAATCAGAAGTCATGATCAAATAGTCTTTTTGACACAATGCAGAGGATTAACCCCTTAGATTCCTCAGTGAGTATAACAAGCATGCAGGGGCGGACTGACCATTGGAAACTCGGGCACTGCCCGAAGGCTCGGGGTCAGTAGGGGGCCCCATGAGATGCCCCTGGTACCTTTTTCATAGGCTTTTTTGAGTGTGGGCGAGGACACAGGGGCTCCATGATCCCCTATTGCCCGGGGGCTCCATGAGTTGTCAGTCCGCCTCTGCAAGCATGCTTTACTACATATACAGACTGATGTTACTGTTGTGGCTTTAGTAACACTTTAACTGAACATGCTAAAGCTAGAAGCTTGTTACTATGCACAACTGCTCCAGAATCAGGATACATTCATGTATATATAATTTAAAAATATATGTAACTGAAAGTAACTGTAAATTCTCATGTCTGACATCCGAGTATTGCTAGAAAAAGAAAGTTTGTAATGCTCAAAAGGCAATTCCTTTTTTACTTTGCAGTTATTTTGTTGATTGTCCTGCAGGTGTCACTGTTGTTCAAACGACAGATGAAAAAATGTTATGTATGATGTGCACTTTAAAATAATTAAAATCAATTAACATAATGAAAACAAAAGTTAGTAGAAATCTTTGCAAACGTAGGCAGAGTAAAATGCAATGTTGTAAGATTGTTACCATTGTGATCACTATGGGGTCAGTCACCAGAGTCTGTAAAACGATCTGTTGTCTTTTACACATTATTCTGCATTTCCCTGCAGGTAGAGACTAAGAATTTATTTTCTGAACATTGTGTTGTGTATATAATGCTTACATTCTGTGTCCATTAGATTCAGATGGTGAGCAACCTTCGTACTGGAAGGAATGTGAATTATCGAGTCTTGGATGTAGACTGGTGCTCCTCAGACAAGGTCATCCTGGCCTGTGATGACGGCTGCATCAGAGTACTGGAGATGTCTATGAAGTCTTCAAACTTCAGAATGGATGAACAAGAGCTAATAGGTAATATAAAATCCATGTTTGTTTGTGGACATAGGCACAGTCAAGCATGAAACTTCACCTGTCAAATGCAGGAACATGTACACAATGCGGAAAATGTGTGAACTCTCATTCCTACCCTCTCTATGTAGGAACATTTGTTTCGGCAGTTTCCCCTTGTGTATGATATGGCACCTATGTGGCCATTGTGTGGGCTTAAATTCTATATATATTTTTAACAAGTTGGTCAGAACTGACATAACTCAAGTTTCAACAACCTTTTAAGTGATTACTGTTCTGGAGACTCTGCTTTATGTAGTCGGTATACAGTGATGCTGATTTACTGAAAAAAAGTCAAGAATATTCACTGAAAAATAATTGTGCAAATCTTCTCTTCATTTATCCAATCATGTAAAAAGCAAATTCTTGATCACTTTGAATAGCCAGTCATGCATATGCTTTTCGCATGATTGGTCGATTGAAGCGAATATACAGTTTTTTTTTTCAGCAAATTCCTAAAGTGATTCTAAAGGTTAACATTTTTTTTTTAAATAAGAAACATATTATACTTTCCTGCTCTGTGCAATGGTAGCAGCCCAATCCTCTTCTTTTTTTGGGTCCTCCACCAGCGGTCCTGGCTTTGTCCACCTGCTGAGCACCCCCAATAGCAAACCTATGCTATAGGAGCACTCCAGCAGGCTCGTTCCCAAGCTGCACTCCTGTAAATGGACATTGTCCATTCACAATCTGAGTGTGTCTCAGCCCTGCCCCCTCTCTCTTCTCATTGGCTCACTGACTGTGGCTGACAGCAGCAGGAGCCAACGGCTCCTGGTTCTGCATGAGCCAATGAGGAGAGAAAGTCCTGGGACAACTGAGGCTCCTGTGCACATCACTGGATTGAGATGGGGCTCAGGTAACTTTCCGGGGGCTGTGGGGTGAGCTGCACCCAGAAGTTTAAAAAAAACCTTCTGCCCTTAGAACCACTTTAATTTTTTTTTTTTTCAGTAAATCTGCCTCATGGTAGAATTTATCAAAACTGGAGCAGCCAGAATCTGGAGCAGCTGTACATGTCAACCAATCAGATTCTATCATCTAGTTCAGTTAAGCTTTGAAAATGAAAGATAGAAGCTGATTTGGTTGCCATGCACAGCTGTTTCAGATTCGAGCTGCTCCATTTTGAACAAATCCTCCTCATTGTGTTTTCCAGTATTGGAGAATTTAGGATGTGTGTTCAACTTATTGAAGTTGGATATCCAGTACTGTGTAGTCAGATTCTTGAGAATATTCATTTTTTTTCTTCTCTCTGTTGGGGAGGGGGGGACCGGCTCCAGGCTTAGCTTAGTGTCACTAGGTGGTAGACAAAGAGTAGACCCCTAGACATTATTCTGTTTTTATTTTTTTCCTATACTTTTGTTTTGTGAGGATTATTTTCATTTTCATGACATGTAGGTGGTGCATTCCTCATTCTTGTGCTCTGTATGGCCCAGGCTGAATGGATTACAGGCAGCATGACAGTTAAAGTAGAAGTCCAGTCAGATATTTACTATACTTAAGCCTGCTCCCACCCCCATTCTTAGCCTGTTCGAACTACGCTGTGATGGAAAGATGTCTATACTTTCCTATTCTGAGGGCACTCTGGTGCAGTTACATGATCACCCCAGTGGCCAGCTTCAGTGAAGAGGAGAGATCACAAGTAACAGCTTCAGAGCTGGGGCGATGACATCACCTATAGGCTTACTATAGGTCATCTGTTGTCGGCTGTCCCTCCTCCGAACTGAAGCGGGCGCTGGTAGCCAATCATGTGAAGACTGAATTGCCCTCAGAATAAGTATAGGCATCTTTCCTTTACAGGATAGTTAGAATAGGGATGGAAGCATGTTTAAGTATATTTAGTATTTGACTGGACTTCCACTTTAAAGGTCACTGATCTTGCAGGCAATGGTGTGGGCATTCATTTAGTACTGTCTTACTGTTAAACTTGTATGTAGCCTGCCAGCTGTATTAACTGTGGGATTTATTGAACTATTAAGCATTATGCTAAGTGCATTTTATGCCGTCTGAATACAGAAAACCTCATGCACTTTAGCACGTAGAGATAAACAAATTAATTCGCAAGCACCTGATTTGCTGGCTTGTCATCAGGTTTTTTAAATTACTTAAGAAAATTGGGATGAACATTGATCCTCTCAAATGTCTACATGCCTCTTTGCACAAATCAGTCAAATCTTTAATCTGCTTACCAGTCTATTGCAATTTGTATAAACAAGCATACTTCAATGACCATTGTAATCTCCTTGTATGCACTCAGATTTGATGAGATGGAGTGGACTTTTTTTATGTTGACTTTGGTAAAGGACCATTGTTCTATAAAATACATTTTTAGGTCGATTGTTTAAACTGAAACTGCTAAATACTCATTTGAAATGCATTTGATTTGTCATTTTGTCCAGCCAATCCTAAGATTTGCATACTCTTGGTATGTGGCTTGATGTCTTTGCAGCAGTTAAGCAATACTGCTTGGTCACCTTTCCATCACCAGACTGTGATTGAGACAATAGGGAAGAGAAGCAGACTTGTCAGGCCATCTTTCTCCTGCTGTTTCTTGTTTAAACATGTGCACGAAGCAGAGTTTGATAGATTCAAAATACTGACTATCCCATGCTCTGACTTTTATTGTACAGGAACTTTGCCAGTTTTTTTTTAAATTTAAATTAATCAATTTTATTTGCATATTTCGGTGTTAATCCCGGAGTACCTCAAAAGCCTGTGTGTGTATGTATGTTTATACAGGAGTATCTCAATAAATTAGATAATCTTCAAAAAAATAATTTATTTCAGTAATTCAATTCAAAAAGTGAAACTCGTATATAGATTCATTACAGACAGAGTGATATATTTCAAGAATTAATTTCTTTTCATTTTGATGAATATGGCTTATAGCTAGTGAAACCTAAAATTCAGTGTCTCAGAAAAATGATAAATGGTTTTTATAAATATCTGAATAGTGTGGCGTGCATTTTTATTCAGACCCCTTTACGCTGATACCCCTAATTAAGATCTAGTGGAACCAAATGCCTTCAGAAGTCACCTAATTAGTAAATGGGGTCCACCTGTGTGTAATTTAATCTCAGTATAAATTCAGCTGTTCTGTGAAGCCCTCAGAGGTTTGTAAGAGAACATTAGTGAACAAACCGCATCATGAAGGCCAAGGAACACACCAGACAAGTCAGGGATAAAGTTGTGGGGAAGTTTAAAGAAGGGTTGGGTTATAAACAACTATTTAAATCTTTGAACATCTCATAAAGCACTGTTCAATCCATCATCTGAAAATGAAAAGCATATGACACAACTGCAAACCTACCAAGACATGGCCGTCCACCTAAACTCACAGGCTGGGCAAGGAGAGCATTAATCAGAGAAGCAGCCAAGAGGCCCATGGTAACTCTGGAGGAGCTGCAGAGATCCACAGCTCAGGTGGGAGAATTTGTCCACAGGACAGCTATTAGTCGTGCACTCCACAAATCTGACCTTTATGGAAGAGTGGCAAGAAGAAGAAAGCCATTGTTGAAAGAAAGCCATAAGAAGTCATGTGGGGGTCACAGCAAACATGTGGAAGAAGGTGCTCTGGTCAGGTGAGACAAAATTTTTAATTTTTGGCCTAAAAGCAAAAACGCTATGTGTGGTGGAAAACTAACACTGCCCACCACCCTGAACACACCAACCCCCCCCCCCCCACTGTGAAACATGGTGGTGGCAGCAGCATGTTGTGGGGATGCTTTTCTTCAGCAGGGTCATGGAAGCTGGTTAGATGGGAAGATGGATGGAGCCAATTACAGGGCAATCCTATAAGAAAACGGCTCATAATCTCTGCTAAAAGCCTATGTGTACATGGACATATAGGCTTTTAATGGAATTGAGGAGCTTTGGCAAAAAAATGCCAAAAGCTGCTAAGCTCGAATTTAGATGCTGCTCATGTACATGAAGCCTTAGAGTCTGCAAAAGACTTTAGACTGGGGCTGAGGTTCATCTTCCAGCAGGACAACGACCCTAAACATACAGCCAGAGCTACAATGGAATGGTTTCGATCAAAGCATGTTCATGTGTTAGAATGGCCCAGTCAAAGTTCAAACCTAAATCCAACTGAGAATCTGTGGCAAGACTTGAAAATTGCTGATTACAGATGCTCTCCATCCAATCTGACAGAGCTTGATCTATTTTGCAAAGAAAAATGGGCAAAAATTTCACTCTCTAGCTGTGCAAAGCTGGTAGAGACATATCCAACAAGACTTGCAGCTGTAATTGCAGCGAAAGGTGGTTCTATAAAGTATTGACTCGGGGGGGAAATGCATGCCACACTTTTCACATATTTATTTGTTAAAAAAATTTGGAAACCATTTATCATTTTCCTTTCACTTCACAATTATGTGCCACTTTGTGTTGGTCTATCACATAAAATCCCAATAAAATACATTTACGTTTTTGGTTGTAACATGACAAAATGTGGAAAATTTCAAGGGGTATGAATACTTTTTCAAGGCACTGTATGTATATGTGTGCGTGTATTTTTCCTATGATACAATTAGGTCTCCCCTATTGCTTATTATTTATTCAATCCCTCAAGAATTTGAAAACACATTTAATGGATTTTTTTAAAATAACTTCATTAATACTGATCTCCGGGTTTTGTGAACCTTTAAATAGTTATATGGATCATCTGGTCCAAATGAACTTTTTACTTCACTGACTGATGCAACAGCTGTGAGCGCTTTATGAACATTATCTATCCTGTACAGGTATGTTCAGCAGTGGGACAGAAACTTCTACTCTGCACTGCTCAGCCATTCAAGTGGAGAGGCCAATGAAAACTTATGTTGTACTCATTCATAGAATACAAAGTTCCCTCTGAATGACTGTGCAGCACTCCGCCAAGCTCGGTTTTGTTCTGAAAGTGAGATGCCAAGTTCCTGTCTTACTGCGTGAGCACAGTGCTGTATACTGTACGTAGTTGATGCCACATACAATTTATATAGCACACGCATTTGTTCGTGAAGTAAATAGTTTGTTTGGACCAGCTTGGTCCAAATTAACGATTTAAAGGTTCACTAAAACCTGAAACACCTGCCTGTAATTTAGTTTTACTGAGCAGAAACTTGCAGTAAATAAAAACACTGTTTTGTGTTTTTCAGATCCTGTGTGGTGCCCATACATGTTGCTTCCAAGAGCCTCTCTTGTGTTAAAGGCTTTCCTGCTTCACCAGCCGTGGGGGGAGAAATACTCTTTAGACATTGCAGATGTGTAAGTTTATATTCCTATTCATTATTCAAGATATGCATGTGTCAAGCTGGGAATAGAACACTGATACACTGGGCCTTATTTATCTCAAATATTGTCTGTGTTACTGTATGTCTGAACACCAGATTCTGACTTGAACTGGACAATGTGGAATCAAAGCTTTATCTAGCAAGGGCAAAAATTAATATTTTTAATACACTCAGGACACCTTGAGTGTTCTCATTCAAGACACTTTTTTCTGTTGGTGATGTTGGGGATATTGTTCAGTTCTGAATATTGGGTATAGTCAGAGCATAAACACCAATGCATCTTAATTGTGGTAACTGTAGAAAAAGAGATGCAAGACCTTGGTGATTTCAGAGCTGATTGTGTCTGACATGTTTTATGTCTTTCAGTTTACCAATATTCCCTATGAGTTTTGAACCCAAAAGCCAAGTGGACTAATTGAACGTATTTTTTATTTGCAGTGTCTATCCAGAACATGAAGATTTGACAAACTTGATCCAGCACCAGATAAACTCTCTGACCAAGTGAGTGTTGATGTTTTCAGTATACTGTCAGTGGATGACATAACTTGTTTGTACAATGATAGCTGATAACATAAATGTGCTGCTTTGGCCTTCTGTCCACAATCAGCCACTTACAGGCTGCTGAAAGAGTTTCCATATAAACACTAAAAAGTAATTGGATTTAAGTTTTATCTGCCATCATTTATTTTTTTTAACACATGTATTTAAAATAAACATCCTAGCAACTTTGTCCTAAAAGGGGATTCTGCCAAGTACCAAAATCATGTCTGCAAACAGAAAAATGCATTTAAAGTGGATGTAAACAGAAAATGTGATGAGTTAATGGTTATAATGCATTGGACTTCTGTAATGTTTGTGAAAGCCAGGGGTCATTATGTTAAAGTGAAACTCCAGCCAAATAATTGTTTTTTTAATGAATAAAACTTTGGACAGAGTAAGGAAAGTTTAAAACCTCTTCACGTCCTGTGTGGTCTTCTGTACTAGACGTGCAAATCCACCAGAGGGGACAAAGAAATAACTTTACACACGTCCTACCACTCTCCATTTTATTCAAAGCTAAAAAAAAAAAAGCATGGACTTGTACTTTAAAGTGGTAGAAAAGTAAGAGAAAACAAAAAAGATTTCCTCCTGCAAGGTAAAGGCATAATGTGCTAGTATGCATCACATACTGGCACATTATGAAAGATGTCTTGAATCGAAGCCCTCCAGCAGTGTGCTGTCACCGCTGCAGCAGAGGCTTCCACCTCCACCCAGTCTTCTTTCTGGGTTTGCGGGCTGCAGCCGCTTGTTTGGCCGAGCTGCAATGATGTCACTCCCATGCATGTGTGTGGGAGTCACGGCTGCGGCACAGAGCTTTGAATGAACGGCATTGGTATGCTGTTCCTTCAGGGCACATGCACCTGTGATGTCACCGGGTGCCGCACACTAGAAATTGTGCACATTTAGGAGATATTCATGTTGCCTACAGGTCAGATTTATTATAAGCTTATCGTAGGTAAAAATAAAAAAAAAAGAGTTTATTACCACTTTAAGAATGTTCTGAATTCGTTTTCAAGGTTTAAAACCTGTATTTTGAGGGGTTTTCATTTACTATCAGGAGCCCAAAGCAACACATTATTTGATACTATGAATATTTCAATGTTATGCACTACATCGTTAAGCAGTAATATGATGAATTGAGTAAAAGATAGATTTACAGGCTTTTAACACAGTAAAATACTTTGTCTTTGTAGTGATGTGAAGGACCTTCTTCTAGACTCAGAATTCATGCTTACACAGAGGTGTCTGTTGGTGGCAAGGTACATTCAAATCTTCAATTAGTCCTGTGGTCATATAAGTCTTCCCTTTTAAAACTGAGCTCCAGACAAACAACTAAATTCAATTTGAGATACACAGGCGAGAACATTTTGTTCAGAACCAATGACAACACTATTTCCTGGTTCAAATTCACAGCATCCCGTATCAAATGCCGACTGTTTAAAATATATGTGCGGGCAAAAAAAAAAAAGTTAATTATTGATATGTCTGCAATATACAATTAAATACAATCAGTGCTCAAGCCCTACAATCCTGCTGCAGGGAAATTTAGGAATATGTCATTTTTGTGTTATCTTTTGTAACTGTGATTACAATAGGCAATATCTTTTGCTATTTCCTTATACACAGTATCCATGGCTTTGCTGCTTCCTCCAGTCTGGGAATTTTTATAAAACACTCTAGGTCAAACCACACAAAGGCACTGCGTGACACTTTCATATAACCTTAATTAAAAATAGTTGAATGTGTAGTCTTTATAGACGTGCTATATCACATAAAATGACATCCAGAAAGAGGTCTGCACAGCCTTTTACTGCACAGATGGAATCCCTGTAGTGGATTTTGTTGGAGAGCGTACAGCCAGTCTATAACTTGAATAACCACTGACTGGTTTCAAGGGTGGACCCTCTTCATGACGGGCACATTTTCAGCTGAAACTGCACGGCTCAACTACAGCATGAAGGTAAAAAAAAAACCCACCCGTCTACAGCAGCCCTAATACTTATCTGAGCCCTATTACAATCCAGTGATGTACACGAGAGCCTTCGCTCTCTGGGCATTTTCTCCCTTCATTGGCTGAGACAGCCTGTGAACCAAGGAGAAAGAGGGAGCAGGGCCAAGCTATGGTTCTGTGTGTGAATGGACATGTAGAGCAGTGGCTCGGGAGTGAGCCTGTTCGGGTGCCTCCATAGCAAGCAGGCTAGGCAAGAGGGAGGGGCCAGGCTAGGCAAGAGGGAGGGGCCAGAAGTGCCTTCGGGAGACCCGAAAAGAGGTGGGTTGGGGCTGCTCTGTGCAAAACCACTGCACAGATCAGGTATCTATAACATGTTATTTAAAAAAAATAAAATTGCTTAATATCACTTTAATAGGAACGTGTTCTGTAATCCAGCAGGGAAGAACTGCTGATAACACTACTTGAGATTCCTGTGCAGAGTGCATCGGAAGATACAAGCTTACTGGAATTCTGGAAATTTCTGTACTTGTAGTGTCTTTTGACCCATACATACTTTAATGTATGGGAATTATAACCTTTGTCCAGTGAGCTGATGATAACTACAAAGCTGTAGCAGAAAATAGGAAACACATTTTCTGTACAGAGATGTGTAAATCACAAAGCTGACCGAAGGTAATTACTAATTCTTTAGCAAGTAAAATCGTTTACAGTAGGTATCTCAGCAATGCACTGAGCCCTGCTATGTTGTTACTGAGTCAGCTGCCCAAACAGTCCCAATGCTAGTCATAGCAATTGGAAAATTATAAAAGTATAAATGCATCCAAACTTACCTGTGAGCTATGACAGCAGAGGGTACAGGGGTCTGAAGACCAGTCTGATGTGATAACGGGCAGTATTAGGACTGTATTGGGGGAAAAATAAGGTTTCTCCCTGGGATTCATTAAATTAGTTTGAACTGCATGTGAACTACCGCAAAGGAAGTACGTGTGCCAAGATAGAGGTAGAATACAAATTAAAAACACCTAGACCAATTGTAAACAAAACCTGAAAATCCAATAGACTTTTATAGACCCAGTAATCAAAGTACATGGTGGCTATCTGGGCTTTGTATATTAATTTGTGATTATTGTTTGAAGTAAACCTGTGGTTTGTCTTTACAGGGTGTAGCAATAGGATTTCTTGAATCCCCCCTTCCCAGTAGCATATACTCTAGTTACAGTACCTTGAAAAAGCATTCATACTCCTTGAAATTTTCCACATTTTGTCATGTTACAACCAAAAACATATTTTGTATTTATGTATGTATGTATTTTATGTGATAGACCAACACAAAGTGGCACATAATTGTAAAGTGGAAGGAAAATGATAAATGGTTTACAAATAAATATCTGAAGGGTGTGGTGTGCATTTGTATTCAGCCCCCCTGAGTCAATACTTTGTAGAATCAACTAACCTAACCCTGCTTTAAACTCCTCCACAACTTTTTCCCTGAGCTGTCTGTTGTGTTCCTTGGCCTTCATGATGCTGTTTATTCACTAATGTTCTCTAACGGCTTCACAGAACAGCTGTATCTATACTGAGATTAAATACACACAGGTGGACTCTATTTACTAATTAGGTGACTTCTGAAGGCAATTGGTTCCACTAGATATTATGGGTATCAGAGTAAAGGGGGCTGAATACAAATGCACGCCACAGATATTTATTTGTAAAAACTTTTGAAAACCATTCATCATTTTCTTTCCACTTCATGTTTATGGGTAGTTGTCAATTATGTGCCACTTTGTGTTGGTCTATCACATAAAATACAAATAAAATACATTTACATTTTTGGTTGTAACATGACAAAATGTGGAAAATGTTTTGCACCTTTTCTTCACTTCTCTGTTGTTTTCCCCTGCATTAGAAAAGAGAGGTTTAATGATTTAGAGTGTAACCTTACATATAGCATGTTTACTTAAGTGTTTGTTTTTTTTCCCTACATCTTTGCTTTATTTAATATATTTAGCAAGAATTTTGAATGTGCTCAGACCTGGTTTAATGTCGTTTTTATTGAAGCATTTGTCTGACAAACTACTTAACTGCTTCCCAACCATGTTATAGCTGAAAGACAGCTACAGCACGTTTGTCCAGTTTTTGGAGGGCTTTCATGGACGTCCTCCCAGAACACATCCCCTGCGTGCCCCCAGCGGCACGCACCCGGTACTGTCGGTGATCGCTGTGTCCTACGGACACAGCTAATCACATGATTAGGTAAAAGACCAATCACAGCAGCATTTACCATGATTAGATATATGCTTTTGGAAAATATATGTTTTTGGGATACAGAAGTTAATTTTTGAGGCTTCATTCAAAAAAGACTTTACAAAAGAATCTTAATTATAAGCAATGACTGTAATATTCAAATCTCAATGACTCTCACCTAAAGGTAACTGTCACTTTTTAAAAAATACATTTTGCTATCCAAGTGCTTTAGATTAGTACATTTTTTTAGACTTTTGTGATTTACTGATACACATGAAGACTGGCTTGATTGCTTGGAATAGAAAACGAGCGGGATGGTAGTGAAGGGTTAGAGACAAATTACTCTTTTATGTTTGATCAGTATGTCTTCAATCATCATTGTTCTATGCAATACAAAAGTTCAGCCAAATTGTTTGAAAATCTTTATTATCTGGAAGCTCCATCTGTAGGTGGCTTAAACAGGATAATACCTTCCTATGATAGAGCCTGCCTGGAGAGCACACCACTACCTGATTGCTACTCTTCAGCTTTGATCCAGACCTTCTAGACAGGGCAATAAGAGTACCTGTCTTCTTGTCATGCTTCCTTACTGTTACTGTGTATACAGTTTGTAATGATTAACTTACATCTCCTCTGCAGGTTATATGGTGATGAATCTGAGCTTCATTTTTGGACAGTGGCTTCTCACTATCTACAGGTTTACCAAAGTGATTCACCTCATGCCAGAGTCCCAGGAGACCCATTGGACATCTGTTACGACCTGTTATGTGAGAATGCTTACTTCCAAGTAGGTTGTCTATGATTTTTTTGTCTGAGTATGGATCGATGCTCGTCCCAAGCATGTTTGAAGCTATTTACTGTTGATTGGCTCACTACCTCTGCTGGAAGTTTATTCCAAGCATCAACTACTATTTCAGTAAAATAGTACTTTCTGAAATTAGTTTTGAACTTTCCTCCAGTTAGTTTAAGGTGATGTTCCCATGTTCTTGATTTTGGTTTCATGTTGAACATTCTGCCCTCCTGAACCTTATTCACCCCCTTGATTACACTGTTCAACAAATTTTTATTCTTTGCCAGTTTTGGAAACAAAAGGATCCATTTCTTAATGAATTTCACATTCTGAGTTCAAATATAACAATGAAATTTGTCAATTGGCTCTAGTTTTTCTGTAAACGGAAAGTTTTCTACTATAGGCGTAATGACTACATAATGCACAATAATTATATAGATAGATGTCTTTCCACAAATATAAAGCAAGTGATATTGACTACATAATAAAGCCTAAATGGCATAATATATTGCATAGGATTACCAAGAAAAATTATAGCCATAAGCTAAGTTGAATCATTTTAATACTTAGGATTCTCACTAGTTTTGTCTTCAGTTTGTGTCGGTTTTGCTTCTCTTGGCTTTTCTCTTGTATTCGAGGAAAGGGCTATCTCTTACAACTGCACGTGACTACACGCTTCAGGTTCTTCCTCACTTGACTCAACCACGAAGGATTCTGGTGCTTTAGGAATTGGTAGCCCCTCTCCATGAGGAACTGGACGTATTGCCGATGGAATATTTGGATAGTGCACAGATAACTTTTTCTTCTTATTTTAGCCCTTTTACAATTGGAGGCACCATACAAAAGTAACAATTACTAACATGATCTGTTGGCTCTCTCCAAATCATTGGCACAGCGAAAGGCATAGATGCCTTTTTTCCATTCAACCATTGCTCCAGTGCCGTCCCACAAGAATTGCAGCATATATGTGGTGCCCAGCTCTTGTCCTGGTCTCCTATCTTGCAGCCAAAATACAAGTTGTAGGCTTTCTTAATCATTCCTGTTATCCTCCTTTTTTGTGAGATAAAAGTTATTTCACCGCAGATATAGCAGAAATTATCTGCTTTATTCACACAAGTTCGAGGCATTACTGAGCAGCCTATATAAGCATAAAATGAAATGTAAAGACGCTGTCGAACTACAATCAGCTACAGATACTGCAGCTTTTATGCAGTGAAGTGATGCAATTAAAGGCTAATAATGCATCATCTCAGTATACATGCAATTTTCTATTGGTCACCAGTATCAATTGCGCAATATGCAGCTGAAGTTGCATCATAATTTTGAATGGCTTACGTCATTAGATGGGTGAATATATCATGGAAACTAGAGCCAATCAACATTTTTTAGGGTCATTTTCGTTTTCAGCACCCCAAAATTATGTAAGATTAGCTAATTTTATGCCCAAAACTTTTTACCTGTTGAACAGTGTTATTTAAAGGTTGCAATCATGTCTCCCCTTTCCCTGCTTTCCTCCATACTGTACATGTTAAGTTCCTGAAGTTGCTCTTGATATGTTTTATCCCTCAAATCTTTCACCATTTTTGTTACCCATCTCTGGACTCGTTCTATCTTATCAATATCTTTTAGTAAGTGAGGTCTCCAGAACCGGACACAGTATTCTAAATGAGGTCTATCTAAAGATCTATATAGAGGAATCAGGACCTCCTTCCTCCAGCTGGTGTCCCCTCTAGTGAGGCATCCTAAAATTCTATTAGATGGCCAAATTGTTTGCTCATTTTGCAATCATCTGAAATAGGTACCCTCAAATCCTTTTCCTCTGTAGTGTTGGCCAACAATGTACCCCTAATGTTGTACTTTCTCAAGGGATTCTCTTTCCCTAGGTGCATGATTTAACATTTAGAAACACTGAACTGCAATTTTCACTTTTTTGACTAATCTTCCAGCAATGCCAAATCATGTTCCATGTTACAAACACCTCCAGGGATATCAACCCTATTGCACGCTCTTGTATCATCAGCAAAAAGACATACCTTGCCCAACAAACCTTTCGTTATATCACTTTCGTTATATCACAATCGATGTCATTCAGGTAAATGCTTGCTTATAGCAAAGTAATGCTTTGCTATAAGCAAATTTGTGTAAAAAAAAAAAAAATACTGATCACTTCCCCAAAGTAGTACAGTATTACTATGGTAACATTGTACTACTTTGGTCATAGTGCAATATGAAAAAAAAAAAATCTTTAAAAAAAAAGAAAACAAAATGTAATAAAAAATTTAAAATAATAAAAAAAATAAAAAAAAAATTATATATATTTTTTTTTCATACTGTCACCAGTCAGTGTCCCTGATCACCGCCATGCCAGTTATATGATGACGCTGTACTGCACTGGTGACAGTATGTAAAAAAAAAATAGTGAAAATAATTTTTTGAATTTTTTTCATTTTCTGAAAAATTATGACAAAAAAAATACAACTTCAAAAAACTCGCCATGCCTCTTATGAAGTACGTCGGACTGTCTACTCTGCAAAAAGGGGTAATTTGGGGGATATCTGTACTGTTCTGACATTCTTGGACCTCAAGAAATTAGATTGGCTGTCAGTACTTCAGGATTGATCAATATTCAGATCTATACCATAGTTTGTGAACTCTATAACTCTCCTACAAACTAAAAAATACATCCTAATTTGGGTTATTTTCACCAAAGACATGTAGTAGAATACATCTCGGCCTAAATATATGAAGAACAATTATTTATTTGCAAACTTTTATAACCGAAACAAAGAAAATGTGTTTTTTTTTTTTTTTTTTTAAATTTCGGTCTTTTTTTGTTTATTTTGTTAATTTAGCAAAAAATAAAAACCCCAGCGGTGATTAAATACCACCAAAAGAAAGCTCTAGTTGTGTGAAGAAAATGATAAAATTTTAGTTTGGGTACAATGTTGTACAAGCGCTGAAACCTGAAAAATGGCCTGGGCAGGAAGGTGTAAAAGTATGGAAGAGGTTAATCTTTAACCGAGCCAGTTCCTCTGCTACCTCTGTCTCGAGAAATCCTAAAAATGATCCATCATTACTAGAACCAATATGATTTCCCAACTTATTATTGTTAGTATAATTTATTTCTGAGAAGACTGAACAAAAGTAATTGTTTAAGTGGTTTGCTACATCCAGGTCTCCCTTAACCCCTACGTCACACAAATATGCGGCCTCACGGAACTGGGCTTTTTTCTGTGGGGCCGCATATTTGCGTACCTGTCTTTGTGCTGGGTGCGCGCTGATCGGCGCGCTCCCAGCACAGAGACCGCGGTGTCACTGAGAGCCCCGCGTAACGTTCTAATGATTGGGACCCAGGACTCCCGATTCCGGGTCACATGATTGCTGTGATAGCCTCTGATTGGCTATCACAGTGATCAGTCACTGTAAAACCCCGCCCCCTTGCTTTTTTCTCTCTATGAATGGAGAAGAGAGATACATTGTATCTCTTTAACTTCTGGGTTTGAAAATCCTCCTGGGTTAAAGAAAAAAAAAAATTAGTTAAATATTAAAAAAATAAAGAAAAATACCTAGATTAAGGTTTGATGTAGTTCAGTGCCAGGGTTAGTGTTTGGGTCAGGGTCAAAGGTCAGGATTAAAAAACAATTGGTGTCAGTTAGTGTTAATGTCAGTGTGTTTTAGGTAAAAAAGACAAAAACAAAATGCCAATTGGCTGCAGTGCTGATCAGTGTTTTTTTGACAGCGAAGAAGACCCCGCTGTCAAAATACAAGAACACATCAGGGAGAATTTGTGAAAGTGTCTGTCATGCATTCTAAAAGTGAAGATTGCGCCAAATTCATGTATCTGCCTAGAACTAATTCCTGAATTTGGCTTATGCTTTGCCGATTTTAGAATGCATGTGAGACGCTTTCGCAAATTCTGTCCGAGTCTGAGTTTTTCTCTGTATGCCAAAAGGGAATTGGTTTTAATTAGCTCCACTTTTACATTTGGCGCGTTCAGTGTGACACAATGTACAAGTGGTGCATTCAATGCAACACAATGTAAAAGTGGTGCATTTTAGGTGGAATTTGGTGCACGAGTCGCTGTCAGAACCAAAAGTGCTGCAAATTCTTCTTTAATTTGGTGCAATACATTACCAAGAGAAATGAATGCCAGGCAAGTTGAGCAGCAGTTTAATCAAATTCCTTCTCATAGAATATTTATATTCACCATAAAATCCTTTTCTTGAAGTCCATAGAAAGGACATAGGTCCCACATTCTTTCTTTTGCTGAAGTCTAAACCTCATAGTATATCCCAAAACTTTTACTTTCTGTGTCTCTCGATGGACTCCAAAAAATTTTGTTACAGTGAATACAAAAAAAAAACTTTTGAGTGTTGGACTTTCAATGTGGGACAGGTAACATTCAGGACCAGTTCACACCACATGCAGTCCAATGCATTTTTTTTCCCCTGCAACAAAAACGCATGGATAGTCGGTTATATGGTTTCCAATGGCATAGTTCACACCAGTACAGTCAGTTCCAAAAAAGTATGTTGGAACAAGCTGCATGTTTTCTTCACTGAACTGTACTAGAATGCGGTAAAAACGCATCAAAATGCACCAGAACGCACATGTCTTTATTTAAGGTGAAGAAAAAAGAGGGGAAAAATTGCACCTTTAAAAACGTGTATGCAGAAGCGCATCCGAAACGCGTTTCCATGGTATGAACCAGCACTTAGTGCTAATTAGCTAAGCCATTTGGTTATGTTAAGGATTGAACATTAGGTTTAGGGTGAAATGGTTGTGAGAGGTGCAGTGTTATGGTGTTATTTTAGGGGTTGGGTTTGTGATTTAGGGCTTGGTAGAGAAGGGGGATGTCATGTGAGAATGTATTTTCCTTTCACTTTTCTTGGCTTTGAAACATAATGTACGTAATGCAGCCTACAGTTACTTTTATTGGTTTATTCCCATGAACATTTTCTTTATTCTGTATTTAGGCGCAATGAATGCCAAATGGTGTGCTCATACCAGCATTCATAAAATGATGTCTATGTGATTTCTGTACATCCTTTTCTCTACCTTTACCTGCAGAAATTCCAGTTGGACAGAATTTGTCTTCAGGAAGTGAAACGCTCCAGTTATGAACATACCAGAAAATGTGCTGACCAGCTATTGCTACTAGGACAGGTGAGTTCACAGATCACAGACAAGTTTACCACATTTGATATGTCATTTCATTGCATTATGATGACTACGTTTGTTAGCTTTTCTGGAAACCAAAGGGCTTAAAGCGTAGGTCCAGCCAAGATAAAAAAATAAATAGAAGTCAGCAGAAAAAACTGTAGCTGCTGACTTTTAAAAAAAACATACACCCACTTCTCCCTCAATCCCGTGATGTCCTGTGTCCCCGGCACCAGCATCTTCAGTGTGGGTGCCAACTGCACTTGCGCGAGTAGCACTTCGCTTTGTGAATGGTCCTCTAGGCACTCACAGCAAAAGTGGGAGGGGGGTACCTATCAAATTTTGGTACCCCTTTCCCCTACACTCCCCAAAGGTGCTAATCCTTAAAGGGGAGTGGGTGACAAAACCTTAAATTGGAACTTCCCTTTTTGGGTGGAGATCTGCTTTAACAGGGCCAGCTTTAAAGGAGACCTGTACTGAGGGAAACATGTAGGCCGTTGCCAATCTCCTGAAAATTCAAGTTGTCTGGCAGTCCTGCTGACCTCTGATTCAGACTTAGAACAGACATGCATTAACTAAAGTCAGAACCCCTGATCTGGAGTTTGTCACTGACCCAGAAATTAATGACGACAGTCAAACAAATGGAATTTTCAGGAGGGGGTCAGCAATGACATTTTCTTATGACAGGTGCCCTTGCTTGCTACAAAGCATTCTAACGCCTTGCAGGTAGTCATCCCATTTGCAGCACTCTGGTTTTAATGTGCCACAAATAATCTAAGCAAGTGGTTACATCACTCAGTAGCATCAGATTAATGAGACTGAGTGAAATGGGCTGAATTACGTGGATGATTTTGAGACTGTATTTCTTAGTATATATTTTACACCCTTCTGAATCTCATTTTACTGCATAATATGCCTAGAACTGATGGTACACTTCATATAATTTGAATGGAATATTTTGTATGGAAAAAATTATCTGCATTTAAAAAAGCAATGCTCCATTTCTGCCAGCACAGCAAATATATGTTCATTTCAGAAAAGCTATGGTGCGTCACTTTGGTTTTTAAACTTTTTCACAGTCTGCTTGTTTGGAGCTAGCTGAGTTTATAGACTTATAATCTCAAAGATGTATTTGATACATAAAATACACCAAAACAGCTGACTTTACTGCATCATAGAACAGTTATCAGGCTTATGCAAAGGGCAGAGCGTGGCGGTGCAGAAAAATTACCTGTTTTCTGGCCATAATAAAAAAAATAAGCGATTGCTGTGAAGTACTGCACATGGCACTACCTTATTGAGGAAAATATTTTTGTCCAGTTTACATAATTTATGTCTGTATAGGGTAGTAACTTTCAGAATCTCTTTCTACAGACTGACAGAGCTGTACAGCTGCTACTAGAGACCAGCGCTGACAATCCGCAGTATTACTGTGATTCACTGAAGGCCTGTCTGGTGACCACAGTCACTTCCTCTGGACCTTCTCAGAGCACCATTAAACTTGTGGCAACCAATATGATAGCCAATGGAAAACTGGCAGGTGCGATGTTTTTTGTCTACAGTACTAGCTAGAATAAACAAGCAAATCTATTGATATTGAGAAACTGCATAATTCAACTGATTTTTGTGCTTTATTTTCATTACTTAATGTAATGAAAATCAGTTATGCGTAAGTAAAGCAATCAACTCTTATTTTACTTCCTGTTGGTCTGTTAAATATATCATTGGAAACATTTTGTTATATTTGTTTGAAAAATGCAAAAAAAATCCTGTTGAGAAATTCACTGTCCTGTGTCTTCTCCACACTTTCCTTCCTAGTTCTTATGGGCTACAGAATGGTAAGCCTTTAGTGTTGTAGAGATCTGAGAGTAGTAGTGGTTGAGTAGTTTAGCAAATGACATTGGACAGGCCTGATACCACTCCGTCCACAATAAAGCTGGGTGTTGACAACCCACAACAGGACTTAAATGGAAGAGTGCATTTTTTTCTAACAGTTATTTTTCTGTACTTGCAGGGTCTTAAATTGATAAAATATGGAGACATGTGCATGTACTGCAGGGTTTTTTTTTGCCTTAACGTACACTTTAAACACTACCAGGACATCAGGCATTAAAGTTAGCCAGCACCTTGTTTGCTTTTTAATTTTGATAGTAAGTTTTTAGCGATGTGCACTCATTAAGATGCCCTCTTACTTCCTGTATATGTGATGGTGTTGCAGCAGTAAGTGAGCAAACTCAACAAGGATGCAGACAGCAATAAAAATACTTTTATAATAGAGTTGGAAAGGATTAGAAACATTGTCAGGTTTTCATTGTTGTCTGTGTCCCTATATGGATATTTCCATACCTTCCTGTCCAGGGGACACATTAGCCAGATCAGGAAGTAAATGAAAATCTTCACAATGTGGATCAAAACTGCAGTAAAAACTTGTCATAGGAACTAATCAGAATACACAATTTTCAAAATGACAAAAACAGTTTAGCTGGGGTTGGGCCTAAAGCTCTAGTCACACTGGCATTAAAAGCAGGCGTTTGAGCCGTAGTTGATAATATGGACAGTGCGCTGGACTGTTCACATTATCCAAATACTCATTTAGGTCACTGCGCTTCAAAAATGAAGTTACATGTTGCGTTTGGAAAGAGTTGAAGCATCTCAACTCCTTCCATTCAAGTCTATGGTAATGTGCCATAAATGCACTGGCGGTGTATTTTCAGTAGGCATTGTTCACTGGGGCAAACAATGTGTCTCTGGTGCATTTGAAAGTAATGGTTTTGCACAGAGTGTCCCTGGTTCTTATCTTCTGGAGTCCCCTGTCAGTGCTCCTGGCTCCTCCCCCTCACCAAGTCTCCACCATAGGAAGTTGCATCCTCATACGAGCTTGATCCTGAGTCAGGTTGTTGGCATCTTTTCACACACATATTTCGGCTTGGCCCCGACCCGGCTGTCAGCTGACAGGTTTTGCCTGGCAGCAGTTGTAGCCAATGGCTTCGCTACTCTCAAGCAAGCCTGTGAGAGCGGGGAGAGGGGAAAAGAGCTGCTGCAGATGTGCACAGTGCTGGATGGAGATTAGGCTCAGGTAAGTATTTAGGAAGGGAGCTGCAGGGGAGCTACTTATACCCTAATGTAAAAAACCTTTTACCTTTAGAACTTCAACACCTGGAAAGGCTGGCTAAAAGTCCTTTTGGCGATACATTATAGGCAGGAAAAATTGATAGTTGTTCTGTTTTTTTTTTCACAGAGGGAGTGCAGCTACTGTGCCTGATAGACAAAGCTGCGGATGCCTGCCGTTACCTGCAGACGTATAATGAGTGGAACCATGCAGCATGGCTTGCCAAGGTTAGTAGTAACACCCAGGTTCCATAGCAAGAAGTTTTATAAAAGGTCCCACCAGATTGCAGTACTCATTTATAGTGTGCTGGAGGGGATTAAGACCCCATTCTCACTTGTGAATGAGTCTGTTTGCGATTACCTGCAGGACACCCAGTGGGGGTTCCCTGTGATTTGCTGCCGATGGGAAACGCCATTAAAGCAATACAAATAGCAGACATTTGCAGCCCATCACATATAATCTCTCATGCTGCAATTACTGTGAATGTTCGCCCCTGGAGGCAGGCTGCTTGCATGCAGGACCAGTCATTCAGAGGTGATAGCTGCATGAGTGATTACATGCGATCGGCCACAAATAGCTGCAGGAGCAGTCAGTCTCCTATTGATTTCATTGGGGTTTCCTGCCTGCAGCTTATCACCATAAACCACTGCTGGGTCTCCTGCTGCTTACTGCAAAGGCAAATTTGCAAGTGTCAATGGGGCTGTTTTTAAACTGGAGAAAAAAAAAATAGCTTTTTACCTCTTCTTATTTTAACAGTGTAGCCAAGCAGATCAGAGAGCTGCTTTGCATTCTTTTTGTATGATGTACAGCCCAGCCTAGGAAACAATTCATGCTGAGCCATGCAGGTGCTGGTAGACTATGGCTATGTTGCATCATGTGTAGTGGTAGCCTCTGCACTTCTGCTAGAACAGGTACTCGAGGAGATCTCTGCATTGGAAGGGCCTGGAACTGCAATTATTATTTTTTTTTTTTTTTCTAAAAGGTCTTGATTTGCTGGATAACAATCCTGGTAAAGGACCTATACTATCCTTTCACATGTTCACTTGCCAGAGCCTGTTACCCCCAGGTATGGGTATTGTATGTCGTTTCCACAATGTAGTGCTAGGTTCCTAAGTGGCCAGTCACCCAGCCTGAGCACTGGATTGCTAGAGAGTCTACACAAACTTGTGTAAGTCCTTTCTGATTATGTTTGGAATGCTTACAAGCAGGGCTTTTTCTCAGCCAGAACATAGCAAAACAAAGCTCTACCACCTCCAGCGCTGGCCCCTTGCCTGCCGCTCACTACAGCTTCTGTGTGAACAAGTGACAGAGCCCCCCTCCTGGCGGTGCGCACAAAACGCTCCCTGCCCTGCATATTCCTCTGAGAGCAGAGGTGGGGGTGGGAAAGGGATCTACTCTAAGCTCCTGGCAACAGCTCCTCCTGAAGCTATCACACTAAGGCTACGTTCACACTAGCGTTGTGTGCAGCAGGCGGCAGAGAGGCGTTTGGGAAGCGTTTTTACCACTTCCCAAACGCATCAGACAATTCTGCTCATTGCAGCACATGGTCCTGTTCTAACGGGAGCCTTAGCGTCGCGTTGCGGCAAAATGGATGCCTCTGGTCGAGTCAGGAGGCCTTGAAGCCTCCTATTCTAGTCTATGGTGCTGCTCCGCAAACGCCTGGCCGGCGTTTGCGGCGCGGTTGTGGGGCGTTTTCAGAGCGGTAACACCATTTAAACTTCATTATAGGTGTTTGCGGAGCGTTTTTAACGCTCGGCAAATGCCTAGCAACTGCCGCTGAACCACTCATGCGGCTTTTGCCGAGCGTTAAAAAACACTCCGCAAACACCGGACCAACGCTTGCCAAACGCTATAGGGGCGTTTGGCAAGCGTTGGTAAAACAGTCAAGTGTGAACGAGCCCTTATACTGTAAGTTGTAGCAACTCTTCTGCAGCAGTCCCTTTCTCGGCTACTCTTTGTAAGTGGGGGTGAAGACAGAACAGAAAGGGGGAGAGGGTGGGAGGAATTTGCCCTGTGAGATAAGCACTCCTAAGCTCTGCATCGTGTGTAGTGCACACCTGCGCGCTGCACCAAGCACATGCCTGAACCCTGTGTGTATTGCACTCCTGGTGTTTAACAATACCTGCTTAAAACCCTCCCACTGCAATTTGGCCACACCCACCCTTCAATGCCATGTGCTTTCCCCCTGCAGGGGTGGGTGTCAGGTTGAGTTCTATATAAAATTTGGATTACCCAATCTTTAAAAATAAATGAATCGTTTGAGCTGGCAGCATTGAGTAACAGCAAGGCATAGCATATGGAATTAGGCAGGTGGACTTTTTAACCAGAAGTTAAGAAAGGGGGGGGGTCCGTCAGTATTACCTATACAGTGGACAAGTGGGACAGACAAGGATCGATAACAGCAGAGCAGACCAATAAATCCCACCCCAAATTTAAAGAAAAAAACAGCAGTTGCCTCCAGGTTTCAGGGATGTATATAGTAGCATGTAATGGCACGCCTGTGCTTGTACCCTGGACACAAACTATTTCCCGTTAAAATGAGCACAGGCTGCAAAAAAACCTTTAAATGTTACTGTCTCCATACACCCAGGTGTCCCTTTTAATATTGCAAAAGGCACCTGTGGGGACAGAAATGTTAGAGCTGCTACTTCTGAATTACAGGCTTCAAGGTTGTCAAGTCTGAACTCCATCACTTATACTCATTCCAGGCCAAAGACACCCTTGGTACTGAAGCTAGGATAGGAATGACAGCCTATACCTTTTATTTATTAATGCAGCAGTGGCTGCTCCCATATATCCCCCCCCCCCCATTCCTTTTACTGTACAGATCTGAAAGAAATGCACAAAGCACACCAAGATTCAAGACCTGACTTGTATAGAGACAATGTTTACTTATCCCAGAGTTCTGCTGTTCTAGACCTGGAGATAGTTTAGTTATGCTTTTAGAAGGTCTGTAAGGGATATCTGAATGGACAGGTCATATTCCTGACATGCTTCTAGAGGGCAGTATGTGCCTGAAATCTCACCAGTAGTTACATCACACTGCCTCTTTCCTCAGTGTCCATCTTTCTGGTACTCAAAGTTGCATTCTTGCTGCCAAAGAATCTTTCATACTCATGATAATGCTTCAAATATTAGAAATCATCTTTTTGTGACCATATACTTTTCCTGACCTTAAAATTTCCCCTATTTTTGAGTGTAAGAAAGATGAATATACTTGCCATTTTTGAGCTCAATCATATGATCTGTCTCCCCCGTGTCAGCCAACGCCTGCTGTAGGGGAGAGGAGGGAGCACCGATAATGGATGGGCCATAGTAAGCCTATAAGTGATGTCACCGTTCCCAGACATAACCAGCTATCATCTAGCCCTCTCTCCTCTCCCTGCAGCCACCACATGAGTGGCCTGAAACTAGGTAAGTATACAGCTGTCTTACACAGGTTAGTTGGGTGTCAAGAGGGGGGTGGGAGCATTTTGAAGACTAGTTAGGGAAAGCCCACAATTCCACTTTATTATTCTCAGCATAAACAGTCGAGCTCTGATTGAGAGGAAGTAGTGTCATGTGAATGGATACAAATATCCTAAATTACTACATGAAGATAAGGTGTCCTTTTTGTTTCTGAAATAAGTTGGCAAATCTGCTTTAGATTTTACAGAAAAGTGAGCCTGGTCTCTGAGCACACTAGGTCCTCGGTTGAGCTTGAGCATAGGAAATTAAAGGAAACGTGTAATTTGTTGTAATTAGGAAGCAGATGCTTTGTATAGAGAGGCACAGTATATCCACGGTAATATCTACAGTATGTCACCTTTGTTAATACTACACTGTTTTCAGGTGCGACTGAATCCAGAAGAATGTGCGGAGGTCATGAAACGTTGGGTGGACCATCTCTGTTCCCCACATATCAATCAGAAATATAAAGCAATCCTTGTTCTCCTTTCTCTTGGCTGCTTCAGAAAAGTAATAGAAATGTTACACAGGTAAACTCCTACTCCCAAAGTACAATGATTTTGGACTGTGTGTGCTTTTTACATACACTAAGCTTGTTTGATTTTCTAGACATATTTCACATATAGAATTCTCTTTTTTTATGTTTTATTTCTCAGCATGAGGTGCTTTGATCGTGCTGCCTTGTTTCTGGAAGCCTGTCTGCGATGTTCGGCATTTGAAACCACTGACGAGTCCAATATCCTTTTTAAGTATTGCAGAATGCAGTTTGAACACTGCTCATTCCATAGTCTATTGTAGGTTTTAAAGTGCAGCTGTACTTTCTGAAGCAACTGCCCTATTTTCCTGAGAAAGCAAAGTGACATACCTGGTACAGAGAAGCATGTGGCTCTATCCCCTTTCTGCTATGTGATAACCCGGCTGTTTACACGCATAAAGCCAATGTGTTGGGTGGGCAGAGCCTGATGGGGACCTGACAGAGTAGTTCCCTGTCAGGTCTACCTTGCCTTTTAATTGACAGCGGGTGGCAATGAACATATTTGAAAACTGAAACCCTTTATTGCATTTAGACAGCCAGGAGGTTTTGTTTTTTACATGAGGGCAGCATTGTCAGTCCACATAATATTTTTTTTTAGTACATTATATTGAGTAGGTGGGATCAGATTTGCAGCATTCAGTTTAAACATGAATACATTACAGGGAGCATTCCCCACCCCTAGACATGTCAACATTCCTTTGGAAAGTATGCATCAGAGTACAATTTTGTTAGCTTATTGTATTTTGAAACCAACCCTCAGGATTTAGCTCAGCAAGTATACCATTTCTACAAGAAGTGGAGTTCTAGGCAGCTATATCTGTTATAGGCTTATATATAAATAAGTGGAGGTGGACACTGTTATATTCAGCATGATAAACTATGTAGTAGAACGTCTGGATAAATTATCTACCATACAACAGGCCCTATTTGCATTTTCCTTAACCTTTGTTTACATAAATTGATCTCTGCAGTGTTTGCAGATTACGCACGCAGTCTCCGCTCTCTAGGATTCACACAGGGAGCATTGCGATTTGCCAAGAAAGCAGGAGATGCTGGTACAGATTTACTGTCTGAACTTCAGAGCCACAAACCTGAGGAAGAGGAGCATGAATAAACCATACAGTTCCTCTATTTAGAGAAGAGGCAAGTACACTGGTGTAATAGAAGGAGAGTATTGTGCTTCATGGAAGGTAGACCCTAGTACTGTCTGCAACAGACTAGTGAGTCTGCCATTCACTGGAATATATGCAGAAACAGGAGATCCTATACTGCACTCCCCATTGCAAGTTGTCACACTGTAATATAGATTTAGAAGAAATTTAATAGTCTGCTTTGTCTATGCTTTACCAATTCATATTCTGCCCTACAAAGCCAGATTCACCTGACACTTAAAATTAGGGCAGAGCAAAGATTAACCAAATGGCCTCCAACTCGGTTTATAACTGTCAGAACAGTAAAAGATATTTTCTGATTGGTTGTGGTGAATTTACTGTGCATAATTTTTAAACAAGTCCAAGAAAGTACAAAGGAGGGTTGAAGTATACAGGTCATTATGACAGTCAAGTAAATCAAGAAGCATTTTTGAATGCATGTGTGATCAATAATTTGTATCTTGCTAATCTGTATAACAGACTATAGTGCTTGTCATGGTATGTTATCTTGTGAAAATAAGGAAGAGTGTCATCCATTTGAGGATGAAAATTTGTACATCAAATACAGAGTATCAGAATAACTGCATTCTACTGCTAAACCAGTGTTTCATGATATCTGGGTTCTTGTCTTTTAGCAACACACCAATTCTTCTAAAAGCACAGGCTTACCCAGGAAACGGCACCATCACAGGTTTACAGTGAAGGATCCTGACTCCATTCAGAATTTCTACACTGTTGGATGGGGTCTACTGTTAAAATCACAGCCACCAACATTACTCTACAAGCAGCTGTTTCTTCATCCAGGTGGAAGTACTATTTTATGTTTAAAATAATATACATATCATACATACATTTGATACCTAGAAACTAACATTTTGCTGAGTGACAGAAACGATCATTCAGAAATTTTGCGAAATTTGAGGGCAGAAGTAGGAAAACTTTGGAAAATCTCAAAACCAAATTTATAAACGTGATATCTAACACACATTAAATATATTGATAAGCATCACTTGAGGAACATCCAGTGGAAATTGTTGCTCTTAATTGATGGTTGTTAAATGTACCCGTCCCCCCAAGAATTCCTAGGGAAAACTTTCAAAGAAGCTCTTTTACATACAGTATGCATGTTGTACAGTAGGTTGGGTTGCCATTCACAATGAATGGCAATGCAACACACATAGATCATGTGTGTTGTAGAATGGGCGCTGAGATTTTCTCGGCTTAATCCACCTAAAATAGTGGTTTCTGTTTTGGGTAAAATGTCCCAGACTTTCCACATTTTCCAGCTGGCCTCTGCATTAAGTTCCACGGGTTGCAGTACAAGTGCACCTGCCAAAGTTTTGGGTACAACATATCCAAATGTTAAGCTGGCCATACACTAAGATTTATCTCATTCAGGACAAGAAATCACTTGATTTTTCCATCCATGCCAAACTGTGGATGGCTGACTCTCTCTTGGCAGCTATTGCATTCTGACGGTCGAACGCTTGTTGCATCTGATTGAATTTTCCATCCGGCTCCTTCAATATTGGGCTGGAGAATGCAAGCAGGGACACTATTGGCAACTAGTCAGTTAAACAGAAACCAGCTAAAATTTGCTCCATGTATGGCCAGCTTTAGGGCAGGGCTACACTAATGATTAAATCTTTTGCTACTGTGAGATTTAACCACTCATTGGTAGTCATCTAATTTGCAGCACACTGATATTATAATGAGATAATTTTCAGTAAATAGAGTAGCCCAAGGCAAAACACATAACGATCGAACCAAACTAATTACTTCAGAAAAGATTTCTTGCTTAAAAAGCCAAAGAATGACGCAACCCATTTGTGTCTCTCTAAATTGAAGTGTCAGTTTTATGTAGACATGACCTTTGAAATATCCTTTCTACGAACAGCAGGTCTGTTTATTTCTGCAGTGCTAATGTTTCCAAGAAATACTGTAGTGATGACCCCATAGCTTACTCCTTCCTACGTAATTCAAAGATGACTAATTCACAGTTCCACAAAATGATGGTAGATATTTATGTTTTGGGCTTAGAGTGTTATGGTTTTTTGTAAGGAGAGCTTTGTGAATGTGAATGTGAATGAGAAATGACGTGTGGGGGTTGCAGTTTGAAAGGGATGCCCTAAAGTGGACCTAGAGCTGGCAATAAATGGAGTGATTTTTTGTCCTGTAACCGAGAGATGCAGGAAAGAAAATCACACGATACCTCCTGTGGAGTCACTGTGTTCTTGGGGCAGGGGGAGCTGTCCCCGCTGGGAGAAAACCGTGATTACTGCTAGCGGCTATAATAGCCGCTAGCAATAATCACATGTAAAATCTGACAGGATGGTTGTACCCAAGTTGATCAACTTGGGTACACTCAGCCTGCCAATACTTGGATTAAATCTCAGCCGGTCTCTGCTGAACTGGCTGAGATTCAAACCGTCTATGGCTGGCTTAACAGACACCAAGCATTGGAGGACAAACTGTGCCTTGGGTGCAGTTGTCTTTTAATTAACACCCCCTGAGAAATACACAACTGTAAAAGCCCCACCCCTGATATCAGTCACATTATATCAATGCCAAACTTGAGAGCTGCCAGTCAACGCACATCTGAGGCTGTTATCTGACTAAAGCTGGCCACTGTGGTTAAACAGAAGTTAATTTTTTGTTTGAATTCTGTTCAACTGCCCTGTTGGTATATTTCTGCTCAGTCAGTGCTGCAGGCAATAGGCTGCAGCGCTGATCTGTGTATTCTGACAGTGGAGTCGTCTCCCCACTTTCAGAATACAATGACAAAAGTGGGGAGGACTCCCCCATCCAGATTGAATGTGTGATGGGGGAATCCGGTCAGATTTTCTCATTCAAGATGCTGGTTGAACAAAAAAAAAAAATGACCCAGTTGTCAGCCTAATTCCATAAGTAACTATTTTTTGCATTTTTCTAGCAGGAGTGGTGTTACCCTCCAGTATGGTGTACAGTGCTGCTAAATTTGAATGGCTCTAAAAGCTGCTACTGGGGGGTTGGTACTTTGCCTTCATATGCTCTTGTTATTATTTATTGTATGTCATACAAGTGTGAAGTGGTTGTCTTACTATTGTTTTACAGTTAAGGCAGATACCTTTAGATATAAGCATCAGTGTTCTCATATGTTTGTATCTACCGTGTGTCATAGTATTCTGTGGTCCCCACATACTAAGAGGTTAACCAACCCTAGAGATTAAGTAGAGGCACCTCTGTCTTGTATGAGGCGAGCTGTTTCAATTTACCAATAAGATTAAAGTAGGGGTGAAATATATATCCAAGTGATTTCTAGGGGCAGCTAAGACGGTCTAAGGACTCCTCATCCATATATCACCAACCTGTAAAACATTTGGAGCCGTATTCATTTCACCACTCCAGACATGAAGGGAATACGTCACTAAATGCTGGTCTGAATATAGCCATTTAGGGTGAATGACTGAAATCCATAGATTCCTCCATCACGCTAAATTAAATTTATGAAAATCAGCCAAAAGTTGAGCTGTGTATAATCAGCTTGAAGCAGAACTTCACCTAAAAGAGGAAGGTTGGCTTGTTTGCCTCCTCCCCCCTCCGCTGCCACATTTGACACTTCACAGGTCCCAGTAGATTGCAGGACCATTCACAAAGTGCATGCACAGTAGGAAACCAGCTGTGAAGCCACAAAGCTTCACTTTCGGTTTCCTTTACTGAAGATGAAGAATTGGCTCGGGGTGAGGGCATCACTGGATCCCTGGACAGGTGGGTGTCCTTATATTAAAAGTCAGCAGCTACAGTATTTGTATCTGCTGATTTTTAATTATTAAGCGGGAGCCTGGAGCTCCACTTTAAGATGCTATATTCAAGCAATATTTTGATCAGTAAGAAAAGATTGGCTATTTGTTAAAAGGTGAGCAGCATCTGTATACAATTGGAAGGTTGGCCCAGAAGAAAGCATACAATGTTACTACGTATGAAATTAAAGTGCTAGTTAGCAAAGGATTCAGTGGTGCCTTATAGAATAGATTAAAGCTTGTACAATTAAAATGTCAGTTCACCAAAAATGTAATTTCAATGTCTTTAGCCACTGGAGTATTACACCACCTAATATCTTATATCAGTGGTGATAAAGAGCCTTGAAGTCTGCAGTGCTGTCATGGCCATTCCGAGGAAGATCCACTCTCTTCTGCAATATTTGTTTCTATTATATACTATAGGACGCAGCAGGAAGCGTTAGAACACAGAAAACACCAAGCTGCAGAAAATAGAGATCTATACAAGAGGAGCCTGACCACTGTAGGTTCCAAAAGATATGTGAAATCACAGTATGATACGTTTAGGGCCTCTTGCACCTGTGCAAAAAAGCCACATTTGTAGCTGTCCAGCATGTTTTATGGATCTAAAAACAGGTATATTGTGTATGGGACAATCTTCATAAAGATTTGTAATGCAACTGTGTCCAAAGCAGGTGTATATATAAGCGTATATTTATAGACTGAAACACTGGCAGCTAAAAGAGGATGAAGAATTTTATGTTTGTATATGCATGGGCTTTACGGAACACAACTTTTGTTTTTTTCTCATGTTTATACACAGCATTTTGCTGGCAGAAAGATCTAAGTAGACTATTACATCCTTGTGCAAGAGGCCTTGAAGCTCATTTACAGGAATTCAGCCACTTTGTAAAATCTGTTGGCATACCATGAGTTAAGTCCAATGAGGTGGATGTCACCTCCTTAACTATCTTTTTTTTTATTATTTATTGATATCTGACATTTATCTGAAATTTTATTTATTAACATCTGTTTTTTTTTAGCTCTGGGGGGTACAGCTATCACACTCCTGGTGCTTTGACAGGAGAGATAATGCTCTTGCATACATCAGCAGCCCTGCCTGCTCCTCCCATCCACTGTTCATTCACTGAAACCCTTGTATTTTGTGAATTAATAAATATAACACAAATGCTCTGTGATTGGGC